CCCTACTTTACTGTCCATCTGGGCTCCATCTGCCCAGCTGCCGGTGTTAAAGCAGACAGAAACACAGGAGAGGAGACATCAAAGGCTCTGCATGGCCTTTGGACCCGTTCTGGCCTGAGGACGACGTTGTTTATATAAGGGGGCGTAAGGAGTGGGGAAGTTATGTGAATGTATATCATCGGTTTCACTACGTTAATAAAACTAGATTGCATAAGTACATCCACAGAAATAGCGTTGCAAAAAATGAGTCCTGACGTCCCTCATATTTCAGTCCAGCAGCTAGACAACAGGGTTATCTGGGAAGCCATTAGTAAGGAATTAGTAGGAAAACTCATGGAAAATGATGCCAGCGTAACTAATGTGCCTCACGTCAGTAAAACATTTAGTTCTCATCTGGATGAACCCAGTACTATAATATTATAATGCTGCATAATAGTGCTCAATCACTCAATTACATGATTCATTTTTAGGTTTTCCTAAGCAACAAAAATACTCAGGCCTAGGAGATGGGATAAAACCACAATGTGTTTGTTGGCTTGGTTACACGCGGGACAGCGGTTGCTGGGTTAAAGTCCCACGTTTGTTTGACCCAGACAACCTCCCCTCCCACAGAGCCCATTACGGACTTTCATCCCCCTAATGCCACTACAGTTGCTCTGCTCTGAACACGGTTCGATGGGTTTACTGTGGCGGTCTCATATAGATGAGGACGGGTGCTTCAGTCGTATCAAACGCAGAGGGACACTGATCAACCGTTGGTATTTGAAGAGTTGGGAGTGAGAACAGGTTGGTATGGGGGGGCGGGGGGGTCAAGGGTTGCAGTGGTATCACTGAAATAACTCTGCTGAGGCTGAACGAGCATTCCACCAGCAGCACAAATTAGTTTCAATTACAAAATGATGCAACGACGCTGGCATAATCCGATAGCCGCATGAATCTTTGTCCTTTGATTAACTCCTCTGCACGCTGCAACCGGCAGGACACGGCTAGCTTGATTTAGTCTGACCTTTCAGCTGAGAGCAGCAGAGAGAGAGAAAGGTAGCCGGCTGATCCACCAGGAATGCACGTCGGGACCTGGCTGATATAGCTCACACACACACACACACACACACACACACACACACACACACACACACACACACACCGCCTGAAGGCAAACCTCACCTAAAAGGGGGAGGTTTTCATGCATGCTTCCTCACCCACATGGCACCTTACATTGAAATGATTCTTTATTTATCCTGTTGAATTAGATTTACTTTATCACATATGCATTTGTTGAATTAGTTTGATTACAATCCGGTTGTTCTATTTTGTATTTGAACTCACTGATGCAACTCTTTGCTTACGTGGAGTATTTTTTCTTTTTTTTTTGTGACGCACATAGTCACAGTCTAAAGTGATATTGTGACGTAACAAACGTCATCGAATTTAACGTAGCAGAGGAAAGGGCCGTTTGGAAAAGGTCCAACTGCTGCCAACTGATAGAGGCACTCAGCGTCTGTGCTGAGGATCTGGGGTTCCCAATGGCCACATTATCACCCTCCCTCAGGCACATTCCAACAGCCTCCACCCACCTGCCCAAAATAAACGGTGTAGCCTTAACCCCTTCCCCCCCCCGCCCAGTGGGCCCTCCAGAGCACACAGTTTAACTGCAGAACACGCTCACAATGATGTGGATCAAGGCTTTCTCCCAGCGTTGGAGCAGATATCTTCTAATGTGAAGAAGAAGAAAAAAAACACATCAATTGCATTTAAGGCATTTTGTCATGTAGACAAGAGAGCAAACTATATGATCCCCTCTGGTTAAAGGGCCGGGTCATACTGCATGTAACGCTAAATTTAAGAATAACCAACTCCCTGCCTGGTCTGCAAAATAATACTAAATGTGCGCGTAATTACAAAAAGAGACCATTATGACGGAAATGGAAAGCCCACCTTCAACCAGATGTGTGCCATGCTCAAAGCACTGAGTCGTTATCCAGTTGTTAAGGTGTGCTGTTACTACACTATTGGTGACCAGGTCTTTAGTCAGAGTTTTAGGATCACAAGTTCATTGTCCCTTTATCGCATTCCTGCCTCAACAGGCAGCTGCTGGATACTCAACATTAATGTGTAGGAGCAAGGTGGGGAGCACAACATTTTAAACAAAACATCCCAGAATGTGATGTCTGTTCAGAATGTCTGTTCCGTCTTTGAGGGCGTGTTAAATATTGCAATGAGCCGTTTGAAGGTTTAGTTCGGATTGTTATGTGTGTTTGAGTAATGAGTGGTTTCGTTGCTTAAGCTTTCTTAGCCTCAACAGCTGCATCTTATTTCATTTTTTTTAGGATGTTTCAGGAAGCTGCACATCTACGTGCGTGCAGCCAAGCATGTTAGGACATTTTGTTTTGGTCTTTTATGACTCACAGCTATTACAGATATCACAATATCATTTCAACATTTTATGTTTCTCAATGCCAACGCATTAGGAAACTGTTCTATGTATTTAACTGTCTTCTTTCACATGAAAAGAAACAAACAAATGGCGACTTGAGGTAAAAAAAGAAGAAGATGAGAAATGCTACTACAAATAAATGAAAGATAAAATCACTGAGTCTGATTTGCATGGGCTTTGAATCATCAGGGGGCACACCGCCTTCCTCTGCCATTATTAGTAACCACTGTAGTCATCCATGGGCCAGATGAGTTGTGTGTGAATCCTGTATTCACCACAATATAAACTAGAAGCACTGCTGAGGTTGAATGGAATGAATAGATGTCACCGGTTATGCTTTGCTTCCCGTTGGTCAGAATGCAGGTTTTAAAAGACTCTGTCCCACCTCAGGAGGAGGAGGAGTTTGACATTGTTTGGGCGTGGCATTGTTTTCAATCCGCTTTGGATTCAGCGGCACTATCTCAGCGGCCAATATTCTGGGCGACTTGATTATAAAACTGTTGGCGACTGACTGACATCTCATGATAAAAATGTTCCTACCTGACGTATGAAAACCACCAACTGTTGAGAGCATCAATTCAAGTTATTAATCACATGGCTTTGCAGAGGGGTAGGGGAACCATTTAGAGAAACAAGATGTAGGTTTTAGGAGAGTTATAATCTATACGCTGTGTAATTACAAAAAAAAAAAAAAGAGGCCTTAAATTACAGAATAGATGGTTGGGTTTAAAAATAAAGCACGGAGTGGGGTTTAAGTTGTTTACCTCTAACATACAGAAGTCATCAACGTAAATTCCTGAAATGAGGAACTGCCCCTCAGCTATGTGCATGAAATATAGTTACAGCCCATGAGGAGTATTTCAATTTAAATAGTTTCCATTGTGTCAACTGGTTTAGCATGAAACAGTGGCTCGGTTGTATGCCACACTTTAATCCCATTCAAGTAGCTCGAAAGGAATTTACGAATACATTCATTCAAGAACAAATAATAATTGCCATCATCTCAAATGCATTTATAGAGGATATTCATTTCATACTGTACTAATTGTGGGTAGCGGTATCTTTTTAGATACAAGATGAGTATGAACTGTGAGAAGCCAAATATGAGGCAATGAAAAGTGTTGAAGTATCAAAACAAGTTGTTGTTTTTATTGCTGGTGAACAGGGACTTTACCTTACTTGGTTCTTTCGTCCCCTTGTCTCTAAGTCTATTTTTAATCAGCAGCACTCCACATGAACTTGTTGACAGACAGAAAACTGATCAAGTAAACAGCCCGTCCTATTCCTCCGGGGCCTCACTCATAATATCCAGCCCACTAGTGTGTTTACAGTAAACGCCAGCATGGTGGATCTGTTAAAAGGCATCCTTCCCCTCTCCCCGCCAAACCCCTTTTCTCCCGCGTCTCCAAATCAGCTGGCTTTCATTTCACTCTCAGGCCACTTAAGTTAGTAAATGTTAAGTTTTACCAAGTGCAAGTTTAGACCAGAACCTTTCTACAGGGCTATTGTGTCAGGACTTAAAAGCCAAAGCGTGTTATTTTAACACATTGGCTGATTTCTTCAATGTTCGAAAGTGCAGAGGTGAAGGCCAGATGCAAGTCATTGGTCAACACCCAACGTTGTAGAATTCACGTGGATCCTTTGTCTTATACGGCAGCTGAATTTATGATCTAAGGTTCTAGCCGACATAGTTCTTCACAGTGAAAACAACACTGCAGGATATGGAATGCCGTTTTAGTCAAAATTAAATAAATGAATAAATACGTAAATACATGAAATATGCATTTGAAATACATCATGTCATGGTACTTTTATTTCATAATGCCGTTTTACATTTCACGTTCTTATATGCAAATCAGGGGGCGTGGCTACATCTAACATTCAGAACAGAAAACAGAGCCGTGTGCAAAAGAAGGCGGGCTAAGGGACGCAAGATTAGCGCTGGTACTACAAGCACAGGTGCTGGACGCCCGCCTCTGGATATTCCTGGCGACAAGCTGGCTAACTTTGTGTTGTCCGGTCTATCAACCCGAGAAATCCAATATCCAGGAATATCCAGAGGCGGGCGTCCAGCACCTGTGCTTGTAGTACCAGCGCTAATCTTGCGTCCCTTAGCCAGCCTTCTTTTGCACACGGCTCTGTTGTCTGTTCTGAATGTTAGATGTAGCCACGCCCCCTGATTTGCATATAATAACGTGAAATGTAAAACGGCATTATGAAATAAGTCTCTGGAAATGAAGAAACGGCATAATGAAATAAAAGACTCTGGAAATGAAAAGTGGCATTATGAAATAAAAGTACCATGAAATAATTAAATGTATTTAATATTTATGTATTTATTGCCTCATTTATTTATTTCATGATGTATTTCAAATGCATATTTCATGTATTTGCGTATTTATTCATTTATTTAATTTTGACTAAAACGGCATTCCATAGCAGGAGACTTTGGATTGACTGAACCTCCAATAGAATAGTCAATCTACATGTAGTAGTCAATTTAAGTAAGAAAAACCCACCAGGCAGAGAGAAGAGAGGTGGTAAATAAAGAAATACAAAGACCTACTTGTCTGAACTGCTCCTCGAAGGTCCAGTCTCCATGGTCCTGCACGCCCAGATGGCTGCGGGCCGCGTGGGCAGGCGGGATAGCTGAGCGGGGCTCCTGTTCGACACTTGGACGGGCTTTCAGCAGCTGGGAGTGTGGGTGCAGTTGTCGGTGGGGCAGCAGCAGGATGCCCTTCCCGGGAGCCACTGCGTCGTGACCCGTCGGCAGACCCCCTTCCGCCAGGTCGTCATCGAAATCCTCTTCCATCTCGCCTTCAAAGTCCTCCTCGTCCCATTTATGTTTGCTGTGCGTATTAAAAACAGATTATGGTTCACAGGCTCAGGCCCATTGGCACAGATTAAATATTACATTGAGCAGAGAATTCCGTACTCACATTTGCTCCTCCTCGTCGGACCCCATCATGTCCTTGTAATGCTCCTCGCCGTCTTCGTTCTCATCGTCGTCGTCGTCATCATCGCCTTCATCCTCGCCGCCGCTGCTGCGCTCCGACATGGGGCTGTCCGACACCCGCTGCAGCCCGGCCGCCGCAGCACGCATGGCCGCCAGTGCCGCCATCTGGGCCTGCTCAGCCTCGGGGGCGGGGCATCCCATCGGCTCATCCCCTCCTCCGACTATCGTGCGGACCTGAGTGTGTTGGGCGGCGACCTGCTGCTGTAGCTGCTGCTGCTGCTGCTCCATCAGCAGCTTGGCCCTCTGCTGCCGGTGCAGGTTCTCCATGACGGCCTGCAGCTTCATCTCCGGGGGAAAACGGCGCAAAGCTCAGCTGCCTTCCTCCCCCACTGAAGCAGTACCAGTCCCGGGGCCGGTCCGGGGACGTTTGTCAATCCTAGCAGCAGGCTGGAGCTTTAAAGGTTATGGTTTGGAAGCGGAAGGAGGAGGGGTGGAGGTGGGGGGGGTGTGGGGGGCTGATTGGTCTGAGCTCTCACAAAGGTCAGCTGCAGTTCTGGAGACAGGGGACTCTCTCTTGTATCAGTGGTTTCTCCCTGCAGCTTAGGGAGAAATCAAAGCCGACAGCAGAGCCGAGTCCCGCAGACACTCGGTGAGGCACGAGTAACGGAAGTGAAGGAAGGAGGACGCGAGTCTGCTGACAGATTACAAAGACCTGGGGGAGAGCAAGAACAACAGTGTCAGACTGCTACTTCCTCACCGTCTGTTAACATCAGCACCTCCAGTTAAGGAGCAACAGCTTTTTTGTTTCATCAAACTTTCCATTTATTATCTCTGAAGTGGACATCTTCTCTTGCTCCTGCAACCTGATACAGAGAAATCCAAATCTACAGTCTTATCTTGTATGTGATGAGATTCTGTTATTTCATTGGACTTCTTTTCCTAACATTAAATAAAATAAATAATGTTAAGGGATGATACACGTATTTGTTGTCAATTACCTTTAGATATATATGACTATTAACATCCTGAGGATTTGTAAGACTCCTCGAGCTGCCTCCCTTTACTGCTCTTCTGCGAGCTGCAGAAGAGCAGTAAAGTTCCGCGACAGAAAAAATACCCAATTTCAAAATGCTTGTTTCAGCTTAAAAAGTGTAAACATGACAAAGTTGTCCAACCATGCACAGGGTTTAATTACACACACACACACACACACACTTTTAGCCACAACAACAACAAGAAGAAATGAAAATCACGCTTTCTTTACCTGATTGGCTCAAAGCCAAGCTCCATTTCAGCCGCCCCGCCAACACGGCCTCATCAACATTTTTGTTCACTATAGCACGAGCAACATTGAAAGGGTGCGACTCTTCTAGGTAACGACTGATGTGTTCCCGATCAAATGTCTGATTGTGTGGAGACACACCGCCGGGGAATTTTTCTGCTACATCCGTGTGCGGCGAGCTTCCCCGACGTACCTGTACACTGTACCAAAAGTGCTCAGGTATGCAAAGCAGTGAGGGTTATTAGCAATGAGCTTCAACATTCTAGCATCGCTAATGTCCCTTTGCCTTCATCAACGTGTGCAACGCCGCAGTGGTCACAGAGCGGCTCCGATCAGTCAGACACAAGAGCTCAGCACCAAGTCAACAACTGGTGGGGAAATTTATTTCAAGTGCAGGTGCTGGACACGCGGAACTGCCAGTGGAGACAAGAAGGCAGCAGTGACTGCACAGCACCACTCGTCTCACCTATTGTTACCAATACGTGAACAGACACCTGCCCCGGTCTCACACTTTCAAATACTTTGGGTTTTGAGTTGCACTTTTACACTCTGGAGGAACGCAGCGAATGAGATACAGTTAAGGAAGAATAACCAAGACAAGCAACTCAACCAAGCTGTAGTCATTCTGGGTTTTAAGGTGGGACAAACCAACATCCAGGAACATCTAAATATGAAGTGAAAGTATAATCGGCAGAAGATTCTTCCGAAAAGTGTTTTCTACCTTTATTTCCTCAATCGGATGTCTTAAATATGTCATTATTTTTTAGCAAACTTCCCTCATTCACTTTCAGAAGGCATTTTGTGTTTTAACCACGTTTAAATTATTTTGTCAAAGTGCAAAAAGCCACGAAACCCCGTCAAGTGGAACAGCTTTTCACGCACCATTTTCAAGTCAGCAGCTCCCTTGAGGCAAGATGAAGACCACATGACGTGGGGATAGTGGGACACCAGTTACTACATACATACATACACCGTGCCATGCTAACCCATCTTAACTGTGGCCACCATAGCAGTCTCCACCCACATTAGACTGGAGCGCCACACTGCAATGAGGACATAACTAGGGAGCCATGCGTTTCCTGGGAGGGGTCAAGGAAAGTGGCTTGTTTTCCTCCTGCGTGCTCACTGGAAAAATACAGGAAATCATACCAGCATTTCACGAGTAGGGTTTAGTAATTACCATGTTTTGAACTCAAAGAGAGGGATGTATGCGCATTTCTATAGGCTGACTAACGTAATTAAGTGTTGCTTACATTCAAAGGAACAATGGGCGTTGTCCATACTTCACATTTACATATAGTCCTGATGAGGCGATGGGACGAACCCCCACAAACACCCTGGTTATCGCCGTTGTGCTGCCAGCCGATGTTTGAGCCTTTCGTTTCTCAGTCGGCAGGTGCAGCAATATGAGATCCACGAGTCATTAGGGGGATCGACTCATGTTTACACAACATCAGCACTCACAAAATACATAAGAATTGTGTGTCAGATATGTTCATTCGCAGGACGGCAGTTACACCAGGCACTCTGGTTCAGTCGAGTAACCTCCTAAATCGTGTAACCATGGCCACAATTAGTGTACATGTGGTCAGGAAAGATCAGCCATAAATGCAGACTGGTCGAACGCAATAGCAAGTTTGAAGAAAACCAAGACAACACCGGCCATCCAGCAGCTGACACCCAGCAGCCCAACAGCTGGCTCAACGGGTCAGCCACTAAATGTAGTACTTAGGGTCTGCCACCCAGGCAAAAGGTATTTGGTGTATTTTATAAACTGAACCACGTCGACACGATCTTCCGTCAGCAGTCAATGATGAACCCCGGCATGAGCAGGAAGAATTAGTTCAGTCACCCTCTACTTGCTTTGTGTTCGAGAAACATTGCGCAAGGAAACAAGAGCTGTGAAACTCGGGTGAAGGAAGTGACAACTGACGGAGCAGATGCAGCCGACAGATATTCAATATTGATTCATTACATTCCTTAAGGGCAATGGAGGAACAACTGAGACGCTGCAGTTGTCAGATGGAGAATAGCACTTGTGTAAACAGGATTAAACCGTCTTACCTAACTGGATCTAGTTTGACGGGGACAACGTGTCTCTGCTGTACGTACCTCTGTCCTCATGACATAACTCAACACAACTCCGGGAAACCCAGATCTATTCTTCTATGGAATTAAGGCGGAAACTCCTACATGGAACTGCTTGCATGTGCACAATATATCATTCAATTCTCATGAATCCACATCGTAGTAGCCACATTTTTAACTTCAGCGAATAAGCACAAGTTCTACTCTACTTTTTTCAGCCCACAACAAGACTGTCTCTGATACCATCTGCCGCGCTGCCTCTGTGTGTGTGTCATGTGTACTTTCAAAGAAAGAAGTGATTACAACAAAGCTTTTCATTCGACTCTTCCTGTGCAGCGGGAAGCAGAAGTGGTCGCTTGTTACATGCCACTGTTCTTCACAAACATCACCACTTCCTACATGCAAGGTGGTACCAATTTCATTGCACCATTACATACGTCCCATTACCCCCACCCCCGATCCACTTCCCTAAACGATGGGGGTAGGTTTGATACTTATAAAACCTTTTACGTGTGACGTGGAGAGAGTCAGGTACCGACAGAAATACATGACACTTACAGAGGAAGTTAAAATGGGAATACCAGATACTGATTTGAAATTAGAGTTAAGGTAAAGAAAACTGTTTGGGACCCTTTTGCACCTCTACCAAACAAAATGTAAAACTGTTGCATAGACAATGAATTATGAGCAAGTTCCTGCTGTGGTCCAGACGCAGAAAGCTTTAATTCTGTTACTTTCGACTGTAATAATTAATCTACAATTCTTGTGCCGGACCATTCTGAAGGCTAAATAAAATCAATAAGTCTATTGTGCATCTTGGATGCAGGGAAAATGTAAATCATGCTGTGAAGGTTGACATGTGGGTTAAAGGCAAAGCTTGAATTGAACACTTGACGACAGACTTTGGGGGCCCACCTGAGCTGAGAGAACCAGGCTCGAGCGTCGTCCCCGCTTGCTGCCTCTGTCTGTCTGAGCAACACCCTGAATCCCAACCAGCATTCAGGACTCCTACTCTGTACACCACGGTGACCTCAGACTTCATGGGGAGGACCAGTACAGCTTATTCAACCGCAGGATGTTAAATGATTTCACGTTGCAATAAGAATGAGCTGACTGGGAACATTAGGGCTCATTGGCTTAAGGGAAAAACAGCTATAGGAGGCGGATAGCAGGGTGGAGCCAACGGGAAAAAGAGACTTCTACAGTTGGTTGAATAAAGGTTAAAGAGTAAACAATGAGCACTAATGGGGTAATACTCTTTTTTTTTTTTCTAAACCCACATATGAGGGGTAGAACATTGCAAGGTCTGCGCAAACAGCACGCAGTGATAAGAACAAGAGCTACGGGTCTAATTCCAACGAGATAAAGATACCCACATCGCCACACATACATGCACACGTATTCACACACATTTACATATACATGTATCTGGCTGCCTATACAGACACATAGCCTGTTCAATGCATTTATGAAAAAGCTACGAAACCTGGTAATGAATGTGCAGAAATACATCTTTGTGTCCCTAGAATTCGCACTTGGTGCTTCCATCACGTGTACTACAAACCAGTATAAAAGTACTCGTGGAATTTCCTCTGTATGTAGTTTTCTTTCTTTCTATTTCTCAGTCTCAAGTTTTAACATTAGTGATAAAGAGTCTGTGGTGTCCGTTATGTAGTGAAAGAACATGCCCTTGTGTCTGATAAAGCTATGTTGTCATTTTGAGATGACCGGAGTGCGAGTGTGGGGTATTTCAATGAATCTCTCTCTGTCCTGCTAGACTGGAAAATAAGAGCTAGATTCTTAACGCGTTAACCCACATGTTGTTTTGTCTTGACCTCGGGTGCTATAAGCACTCTTTTTTTTGCCGGCGTTTCCTGCACTTTGCTCCCTAAAGATCACGCGTGAATCATTTTGGGTTGTTGCAATTTCTTCTACACTGTGGTTTCTTTAACAAATGAAGTTTTTATGCTCATGGCACACCCATTTCGAAAAAAAGACTCCTGCAACCTGACTTGCAGACTAAAGATTACATCTAGCGAAACAAGCTTTAGAGGTTCATTAAATGTGTGGAGTAGGTCTGTTGTCTGATGTTATCATATCATCCTCGCTAGACGCTTGTCATGCACCAGTCTGTACTACTAACTGCAAAGTTATGCAAACTAGTAAATACAGCTTTGTGCCAATGTTGAACACTCCTGGAAAAATATGATACTGAATGAAGAGTATTTTATATTGGAAATGTCATCCAACTCTGAAGACCTTGGGGGAGAAAGACATACATAAAAGGAGTACTACATTCTATTCAATTTAAATGCAACAATATTTTATATAAAACATCTGATCTGAAAAACATTCTCTTATTTTGCTAATAATTGTGTGTAAAAAAAGTGTCATTGCCGTGGAAACAGTGATTAGCATTAGATATGCCGGTGAAAAACATGGCCATTCATAATCCATTCTTTATAAAAAAAGTAGAGGAAAAAAAAAAGCATGAAAACAAGAAGTTGGTCTGTGGTGCTGGCTTTGATTATGTGTCCCTCTCTCACATTCCTTAAAGTATTACCTCGCAAAGCAATAACACAGGCTCCATTGAGCCTCACTGCAGCAACAACACAATCATTGAGGAAGTGTCGGACGGGCTCGTCACGCACTCTCCACCGACCTCTTGAGCTAGCAGAGGCAACACAGTGAGCCAAATCTCATTAGCCAGCTATGCCATGAATTAAGTGGGCATATAGCAAAAATAATCCAGTAATCCACTCCTCAGCAGAGAAAGGTGTGGCTATCAATCAAGCAACAGGACTCAGATGGGCAAGTCATCTGTAGCAACTGCTGTTACAGCATGTAGGATAAATATAAAGCCTTTGGATTCCATTGGTTTCCACTTGGAATTGAAGGAAATAAAAGAACTTGCGGGGAAATTTGAATTTCATGCGTGCATTTGTCTGGATATTTCCACTTTAAACAGCCAGCAAGCAGCAGTAACTGTTGGTGTCTTGTGGGTCAATTTGTCTGCCCCATAATAGAAGAGGAATCAATACTTGTGGTGTTAAAAACCAAAATGTTGTATTTAATATTGGCACAATAACAAAGTAATTATAACACAATATTATTACAACATCAGCTTTGTGCTGCTTGTGTGACAGGACTGCCCATAGGGGAAATGTACCACACATTTTAGCCTCTACTATATGGAAGGACTTCCTCTAAGAGAAGGAAATGTCATCAGACTTATTGTTAAGTGTGAAAAAAGTCCCTGCTAATGCAGCTGAAACTTCTGATGCCATTTATGGTGGACGTTGACTTGAATGTGTTACACTTTAGTATTGTGAGAGCAAACGTAGGCCACTCTATAAAGGAGGCAAAGATAGTTGCAACTAACAGACAACAAGGACGTTAGTTTGTCTAATATCTGATTCACATTATACTTTATTACATAATAGACTTAAAAAGAAAGGAAAATAGTGCTTGATAACAGTTGAGTGAAGGGCTATTGTACAGTTATCTATGTGCATTTCAATTTCTTGTATTGCTTCCTATTTTAATGTTATTATATGTTATCTTCCATTTACCTAAATGACTCGTATTTAAAATGTCTTGAAATGTTTGTTTTCTATCTTAGTGAGAGCTGCAGAAACCAACTAGTCAAATCCCTCATATTTCCTCGTTATTTGGGAGGCTGCTATTTTCACTCTAATCTGACCGTGCGATGATAGGTCCTCTAATGCCTGCTCCCAACATGGATTACCGTATTGATTACATGGCGACTGTGCAGTCACGTCACTGCATTGTGATCGGAGACAATCAGATCTTTTGTCTGCAGAGGAGCGATGAATGAGTGGAAATATTGGATAAAGACATCCAGAACAGCAACTGTCACGCCTGTTTTAAATGAGGATTACCATGCCAAACGCATTCACTCTGCCTACTAAAAAGCCGTGAAGGATCCGTATCATTTGGCATTAATCCAATTAAATTTGCTTGGGCGGCCTTCCAGCGAAAACGTACGTTTCAGGTTTGATGGACATGCCGGCGTGTTGCAGTTCTTTCCTGGTTCCCGAGCAGACGCGTACCAGGACAGACACAAAGCCTTCGACTGTGCTGGCAACTCAGTCCAGCAACTGCGGGGCATCCCAAAAAGCTCGAACCCGTCCACATTCCTGCGTCACCGCCGCCCCCGCGGGGATTCCCCCGCTGCTGCGGCGGCGGGCGCAAGCACTCAAGTCGACTTCCCTGCCTTTTCGTTTGCGGCAGGATAACAGAGTTAAACCCCACGTGCCGAAGTGTAGCTTTTGGCACAGGAACAGCTGAGAGGCAGCCAAGCCGCGGTGCTTCCCACTCCCGCTTAAACGGCAGGGGAGCGGGCCGCAGGCAGACGGCACTCCCTTTGACCTACACAGTTTAGGGCTGAGGTTTACCAGGTGGGTCGCTGCCGGGACAGTAAAGGGACACAATACACCCTTAAGGCAACCGCCACTTTCTTATGAGACAACACACAAAAGGAGCGCAAGCATTCCAGTGAAAGATCATAGTTTGATAAGCAGACTAAAAACTGGGGTTGGACCTGTCGGTCTTGTCTTTGCACGTTCGGCGGTCACTGATTTACAGCCGCCGAGGCCAGCGGACTCATGCCGTGATGCTCGGAGGCCAACTGAAGAGGCTGCATGCACGTTACACTTTTCGCTTAAACGACCTCGAGGCAGAGGTCAGGCGTGTGTGTGTGTGTAGCTTTCTGCTGGTACAACATTGAAAAACAAGGTGCCTGTTTGCATCTTTGTGTGAGCCGCGAACAAACATCACAAACCGAACTCTCGGACGTAAAGATGGATAAACGCTACGTTGTCTAAACACGAGTTGCTTTCAAAATAGTCCCATCAAATATTTGATATGGGAAAACACCACAGAGGGCGGTTTATGTGTAAAGATAAGGAACTGTTCTCGTACCAAAGAGCACACAGCGAAGCTGTGAGAGCATCTTGCTAAATAGATTGAATGAATTTCGAGGACATTACTTCTGATTTCTTGTTGCTGTCTGGCCAGTCGTCAAACAGCCAAAGATATTCAGTTAAGAAAGTTAAAAAACTGAAAGAATCAGTCAATCCTCATGAAGAAACGTTGAAGTGTTTTGGCTTGATCAATGATGTCTTTTCATCACATTGTTTCTTTCTAGTAATGTCTCAACTGTTACAGAAGCCTTTTCTTCATGACAAGGACTCTTTTCTCAAGGGAAAAAAGATACTTGCAGTATTGAGTTAAAACAGTAAATCTATTGAAATGGACAATCCAAAAGTTTTGCAAGATGACCAAGTTCCGTAAACTTCCATGAACTGAAACAACAAAGCTACGATGTGATGGTTTAATAACCAAAGTCCAACAATATGTAAACCGCAATGTAAATATTATATTGATACATCACCATGTTATGGTCTGTCACTTGTTTAGTATTTCCCTGTTGAGTTTCTACAGAAACACAACACATCCATCCGGCAGATTCTCACATCAAGAGCAGCAAGCCTCTTTACATAGACCTGGTTTCATAACGGGTGTTACTTATTTTGTACAGGCTGAATGAAAAAGCAAGAGGAGGCCTTTTAAGACCTGAATTACCCGCCATACATTTCTAATCCCGTGCTGGACCCACTATGCCATATGCCAGATTGGACCAAATAGATTAGTGGGTCAATTAATGGGCAAGTCACTAAAGTGATTGGAGGACGGCGTGTGCAAAAAAGGGCGAGCAATCGGATATCTATTTTAGGAAGGGCTTAATAATCACAACGCAAAGCAGCAGGAGCCGCAATTATCGTTTTTTCAACCACAACTTTATCAAGGCACCATTTTTTAAGTCTGTTGTACGATGACATCGCACCAGCAATGATGACTGGTTCTCTTCCAAGGGGCGAGTCACGTGAGAATCAAGGGAAGGCAAAACCTGAGCAGTATTTCAGTTGGTGTGAAACTGAAACTTCATCTTGCTCTTGTCGATCAGATTTCAGGTGTCGGTCTGATCATTCAATCGTGACGTCACAGGAAACAGAAAATATGTCAGAGCTTTGACCCGCATTGCGCCAAATACATTTCATTACGGTGAATTGTAATGAAATAAAAACAGCTACGTGGTTTTTAAACCGTTGTGAGTTAGTTATGAGTAAGTTCTCACCGTGACAAGGTGGAAAAGCCTCTGAAACCACATCAGAGCAGAAACCAGACATTCAGAATGTTTTCACAACATATCTGTTGTCATTCAGACCGGGTACTATACAAGACAAACTAGCTTCCCCACCCCCACTACTTGGTGAGAACCTATAAAACCGATCACAAACCTATGAGTTTTGGCTGTGAGCTTTTTCGGTTCGTTGAATCCCACCCCAAACAAATTAAACAAATGTATACCGCTGGGTTACTTAATCTACAATAATGAATCATAACGCACTTATTTGTTAGATTTTTTTGCATAACTAACTACTGTGAATCTGAGACCAGGGGGGGCAGTAACCCCAGTTGTCAAATACATGGGGTAGAAAGTAGAATATTGTCACCAAAAAACATGGTAAGTAAAGTAGCCTTCAAGGAGCTTTCATAACTCCATTCATAAAGAAACCTTCAGCCCTGAATCTGCCCCCCCTCCACCCTCCCCCATATGACATGTTATCACACCACACTTTCTTATAAGGCCCAATTGTAGGTGCTGTCACATGCACTGGCTACTATCACCGACATTAAGGGCGGTACATGAAAGGACGTGTAATGACGTTGTAAAACAACACCAATGGTGGGTTCAAGACCGTAGGACATACCGCTACCAGGGGCATTTAAATACGTTTAAAATCGTTTTAATTACAAAGTGCGTGGACATATTTTTTAACCAAATCCCTTCCAGTTGTTTTATCCTTTGTTGGCCTCTGGCCAGGTGAAAGCAGGACCCCTGCTAAGCGATAACGCAGGACTCCGAATTTGGTAGAAAACTCGGTGTAACCGCCTTTAATGAAATAAGCACAGCTCCTCCGCGAGGTGTTGTTAGAAGAAATAGCGCTACTCCGACGAACTACGTCGGCTGTGAGACAAATGGCGCGTGAGTCCGACCGCTACTTTAACACTAATGTACACTATCGATCAGCTGAGAGGCGAGTAAAAACTGCAGAAAGAAGGAGGCCACGCAGACGGAATTCATTCAGAAAACTGCACAAAAACGCAAGTTAAGAAAAAAAAAGAATAATAAAGAGACATTTTAACTCACCGGCTTTTTAACTTACACTCTTTGGAAGAGAAAAAAAAAACATTCCTGTTCCCCCCGATTGTGAAGCCTCCCTCTCCGGTCACACGCACAGAAACACGCACCGAAAAGAGGAAGAGGGTGGCAGGCTCGCGTCTCTCTCAGCTACACGGAGAGTGCTTTCTCGTGACTGCATGATATCCGCGCACTCGGCGTTTGCGTGAAATTGTGTTTTTTTTTTTGGAGTGAAGGTTTCGGGAGCCCGCGACACGCAGACAGCCGGAGAGAGAGAGAGACAGAGAGAGAGAGAGACAGACAGAGAGAGAGAGACAGAGGCGTGGAGAGGCGCTCCGCTCTGCACCGTCACGTCATTGGTTGACAAACAATAATCACATGCAAATTCCTAACCTCTGAATCAGTAGGGGCCGACCCTCCCGACCCCCCCAACCCCACCCCCCGGGCAGGGGATGTCGGTAAACGCTGGGGGGGTGAACGGCTGTGCGTGACACGGCGGGCTGGAAGTGCAGAGAAAAGGGGGCCGAGACGCGCTGTTGCAAGGAGCTGCGCGCACACCTGTTTGTGCAGAACGTGTGTGAAACGTGCTTTACGTACAAGCAAAAACAGCAATGACAAGAAGCGGGGTTCGCTGTTATTTTAGAGGCGAAATGATTGGTAGACAAGGATCAAATATGATATGTAACTAGCGTGATGATGGATGAATCATCAATGCGAACATAGGCGTGATGTTTACTTTAGCTCCGTCTGTCCTGGCGTCTCCTCACAGGTCCCCCGTTAGATGGCAAAATGAGATGGACGAGATCTAGCTGAACATTCACACTGTGTGTGTGTGTGTGTGTGTGTGTGTGTGTGTGTGTGTGTGTGTGTGTGTGTGTGTGTGTGTGTGTGTGTGTGCGTGCAGCTGGAGAAGATAGCTTTAAATGTCAGATATATGATAGATATCTTTCCCATTCAAGATGTGCATTGTCATGTGTACAGTTTAACAGGGTTACTCTGTACAATGGAATTGTTATTGTTCCTTCCACACAGTGTAAAAAGATAACTATCCGATAAAATATGAATAAAAACAAGAAATATAAATATGGACACACACACACGCGCTAAAGAACAACATGTACAAATATATGCACATGGTTTTAATGATGCATTTATTGATTAATCAATACGATGATCTACCATCTATCTATTGGTAGAGAAACTAGTCGTTACACGTTCACAACATCTGTAATACAAAATAAACTGTGCAATTTAATGAGCCATTCCCCAGCTTAATGAAGGCATGTCATTAAACAAAGGTCCATTCATAGACCAAGAAAATAACTCAGTCACATAAACTCACTGCTGGATTTGGTCTTTTCTCTCCTCATCCCGCCAACACACGCCAGCCTTAAAGTCACTGGCCACAACATGTACTTCCAAAGCAGATTTTTCAGTTGAAATGTTGACTGGTCAGTGGGTGGCTGCAGCTACGTACTAAAATAAGGCATTTCAAAACAGAAAAATGATCCATGAGATGAAGTGCAAGGTGTGTTTGTTGCCCTGACACGGCGAGAAATCCAACTGTTGTGATTGCATGATGAAACACTCCACGATTTTGTTGGGCATTAAACTAAAATCTAAAAAAGGTAATGAAAGTTGACCAAAACAATGTGTAAATAATACATAGTGCCAGCATGTGGTCCATTGCTTACTGTGACCTCGGTGTTGGGATGCACATAAACAGGAAGAGGACGCATCACTGCATTCTGAGTTGTGGACATGCAAATATGATACGCAAAATTAATATTACTGGCACTTGACACGTGTGGCACTTTTACTAAGGTAAAGTAACTGAACACTTCCTACTGGTTACAGCCCTTATTTCTTTGTACTAGTGCGCCACCTAGTGGAAGTAAACTTCTCAATCACTCCATTCTTATTTTAAATAGTTTGAGAGGATCATGCATTCTTATTCACTACCTGTCTAAAAATAAGGTACTCTGTTATAGTTTACCATTTCTAGCTCATAGCCATCAACTAATTTGTGTGACTGGTACTTTTATTTCATGATTGAGGAAACTTGAGCTACACATTTTCGACTTTAATGCTGCAGTTTGACCACGTGCAAAAAGGGTTAATGTTACTTCTTCGTTGACAGGACGCCAGTGTAAAGACCTGAGAACTGGACACATGCACTTTCCTGGTGACGACTCGAGCTGCAGCGTTCTGGATCAGCTGTAGCTTTATGATCGACTTCTTTTTTAACACAGACATGTAAACACATTGTTACAGTAGTTGAGTCTGTTGAAGATACATCTGGTTGAGACATGATTCCTCTAATCCTTGATATATTCTATAGGTGATTTTGTAACTTGTAATACAACACACTTTTACTTATGAGACTTCCGTCCTGGAAGATCCGTCATAGCTTTTAGCATTTTTAAGTAAAAAAAACACAACAGCGCTGACATATCTTAAACCATTTAATAGATGAAGAGATAATCATAAATAAGCACTGTAGCACACACATACAAGAAGTTCTAGTCTGGTGTATAAAGCCCTCCGAATATTTGTTTTTTTAATTCCAAATGTTGGCACAGATAAATCATCTAAGTTCATTTTTTTTAAAGCACAGCTGTTTAAAAAGACCATCTTGAAAAAGTAAACAGTGAACAGAAATGTACACCATGTAAGAGATTATGTGACATTCAGAGAGCCTGAGAAATTGGATTTCCACACAAAAACTTTGGTTGTTGACAAAATTTGCCTAAAGGTCAAGTATTTCTTTTTTGTTTGTTTGCCAAATCCAGTCAAGCAGAAATGTAGAAAAATATGTACAGAAAACATGTGTAACGTGTGTTCATAAGGCAGAAGATCCGAGGTTGTAAATGTGAATATTGAGATTGAATATCACTCCTCAAAACACCTTAAATAGGGTTATTGTACCATATCTACTGCACATTCAGTATAGTTTTAATTCATTTACCATAAAACAAAAAAGGCTTTCAATGATGAAGTTGCACCGCGCACATAGTAAAAAACACATGAATACATCTCAGACCACGAGGCGATTTGCAATTTGTAACTACAGTGTAGCTCCTTAACTGGTCTTACTGGCCGTTTGCTGAAGGAACATTTACAGTGAAGCACTGCACGTCTTCACTGGTTCACGGTCGCCAAACCATCATGTACTTTAGCAACGGAACCACCCGCATGCTTCCTGGATGCATACAGACTGTTTCGTTGGTTTAAATGTAAATGTGCATCTCTCGGTTGATTCAAGTGTAGACGAGGTGATACGAATATTACTTTCCAAGCATCCCAGAAGTTGACAACAGACATTTACATCTTCACCTACGATGATTATTCATGCTTCACACCTCACCACTTACAGAAATCCTACAGGCTAATCCTTCAGGCAGCGACGCATTTCCTCATGCACATTTTAGCACCTTTGATGCTTGTTCATCATTAGCAACACAAAGCAGACAACTGGTTTTCATTCAAATGTTCCAGTTTTTTAGGGATAATATTGTTTTTAACTTGACTTTGTGCTTAATCTAAATACACTTAGATGTGAGGTCCCTGTCTATTTATCACCAAACATCAGGGAACGGCTGGGAATGTTTCCGTTGCAATTTTCAAGAACAAAATGATATCGTTAGAGATAAATACAAAAAAGTCCTATTTCATGTTGCCTGAACTTAATATGTGAAATATCATACCCACCATGAAATGTAGCATGAAAACTGTTTACTAACCTGTTCACACTCTCTGCCTCAGCTTAAAGCTCATGTATTCATTTAGACGTAATGCTCTTCACATGCTCATGACAATTTGTTTTTGTGTGAAACGTTATTTGTTAAGAGTAAACAATACAAATCCAGTTGTGATGTTAATACATTCCCAATAATATTAGTGTGTTAACAAGTTTAAAACCTGCTCAAAGGAATTCCCTTTAATCCAAGTGGCGTCCTGGAGCCAAACAGCTCTATGATGCTGTATTTAACATATTACACACAGCTCTGACAACTCTTTCCCAGTGAGGGAGGAAAATGTCAAACGGTGTGTGTGCCCTTGTTGGCATACGGAGCCTCATTTAACTGTCATGCGTTTGTGGGTCAGAACTTCCTAGAGAGACCGGGGACGAACGAGGGAAAGAAAGGCGACTTCCAGCTCTTTTTGATGAACTTTGCGGACGTTACCCAGACGACACACACAGCCCTATCTCCATCTCTCAGAGCAGAGCTGTGCGGTGGAGAGAGGGAAACATGGCGTGGACCCGATCTCAGCTCAACTGCTCCAAGTAGGCCGACAGCTGAAGTGTAGGAGGCAGAAAGTCCTCTTGTTTGTTCACCACTTTGGTCTGACGTGTCCGGTTGTAGTTGGTGCCTGATGGGTCCAACAAACAGACTTGCATTACTTGTGACTGCAGAACACTAAGCTGGCTTAGGACCTCAACACTTTTATGCAACCACATACTGTTTATCTACTGTGGCTCAAAGCTTTTGATGCTCGACACAACTCGTTTTCCCTTCTATGTGCCGAAATGAGAAGAAACGACATGTCTGTATAACCGTACCACAGATATTTAAAGGTATTACAACAATGCTGCCTGAGAATTATTCATGAAATATGTGGCCGTGTAGAACAACTAATAATGATTTAAGAGAAAGATTTGCCACGCATGCTGCAAACAGAAGAAAAATTCAGTCTTTACTTAACAGCCATTCATAAGTTAAATGTTCAGATAACCACCAGTGATGTTGTGACTATTATAATGAATTAGTCTGTACGTGCTTCCACTCACTTGTAGAGACAAGGTCCATATATTGGCACACAGCGTGAAGCAGCAGTCTCTCAAAGCTGATTCACAAACAAAAGATACATGAATTTCCACTCCTCAGCGTTCTCTAGCGACAGATTCTGTTGTGTTTCCTGCTGCTGCAATGACTCCCTTCTTTTTGTTTGGAATATAAAGGTTCTGGGTAATTTAATATATTCTGGTTTCAATCTGCTTAAATTATATACTCTCATGTGACATTTTTTTATACTAATAATTACTACGGACATCATTCATTACAATAATGAGACCTTGACCCGAAGAATTAATTTAACGTTCTGGCTGAAATTGAAACTTTACCACGATGAACAGTGGTAAATATATTATCCACATATCAATGCTGCTGACAAAACCACCATAAGTTTATAGGTTCACAATGTCTGCCAAGTGCCAGAAAATAGATACAAAAATATTTTAACTAATATTAATACAAACAAGGCTAAATGTTTAAAACATCCGTCAACATGTACGGATTTTTAAAAGTTACAAATGTTTTCTGAGGGTCTAATTATTTTCTTCTTAGAAACTTGGTTCCCTTTTAAGACTTTAAGACGTACAGATCCGCTGAATGTGGAAGAAGGATTTTCTACCTGCTGGCGAGGCTGGTGGTGTAAACTGAGTGAGGCTGAGCGACAAAGAAGCTCAGAAGGTGTTCCTCAAGTACTTCCAGGATTCCCTGTAAGGAGAAAAAATAATACAGTGGGTGGAAACATACTGCCACATGGTCAGAGCACTGATTAGAAGCTTAGTCTTTGTGATCAAACTCCCAGCACGTTGTACAGACGGACACTCACCACGGGGATTTGTTTCCGTCTGAGAGTCACTCGCAGCCTGCGGTCGATTCTTTGGAAGCAGTCCTGAGCAGCGAAAGCAGGATTTACTGTGAAGACACGAGTGACAATCAAGACCGATAGGAGCTCTTACACCCAACAACCAGCTCACAAACGAGCACGGAGCGAGACGCTCACCGTTCCTCTTGTCCCCCAGGGGCCACTTGGGGCTTTTGTTCCTGGCCTCCTCCTGCTCCAGCAGAGACAGCAGCCTCTCCTGCTCCTCGCCGGAGCAATTCATGAAGTCATTCCACGGCTGCGAGAGAGCCACAAGTGGATTGGATGAGGAGCCGAACTAGGACGCGCTTTATTGGGTGCTTTTAGACCCATGTGTGACAAGCTCTTTGTCTCTGACAGTTTTGGAAGGTGTAAAAGGTCAAATTACACCTGAACGGTAAAGCCCAAACCAGGAGAGACCTCACGCTGCTCTTGTAGTAGTCAAACTCTTTGTCTTTGCTCGGTCTAACCCCATTAAAGTCCTGGTCTCGTGTCGGTTTAGGGGGTCTTCACTACAACGGTGCCTCAAGCCACTGCTGCAGCATTAATAGGGGGGGAAGGGGAGGGGCAGGTTAAAGGCCACTCACCTCTATGTAGTTTCCGTTGGTACAGGCTTCAGTGAAGATGGATGGGATGGATGGGTTACTGCACACCTCCAGGTCATCTTTGGAGCACTCATCCTTCTCAAGAAGGTTAGCTAGAAAGCGTGCTGATTTTCAGAGAAGAGAGAGACGGACCGTGTTGATATACTTACATCAGACAGATTTATGAATTTAAAGTCTTGAATCTTGAGGTTAAAAGAAACATACTTTTCTTGTACTGTGTTGGCATTTTTTGTGGCAATAACGGTTCAATGTAAATTATTATTTTTTACTCCATTGTTGATGGCCATCATTGTTCAGCCTGCATCGGATGACAACTTATAGATCATCTTATAACAGCTTACTGTTCTCCAGTCGGCGAAGGCTCTTCTTGCCCTTGGCTCGGGGAATGAGGTCAGAGTTGCGGATGGCTTGGTTGATGAAGAACTGCTTCCTTTTGGTGGGAGAGACTCGCTTTGCTGGAGAGCTGGGCAGCGAGGAGCACTTACGCTCCTCTATTAGGCTGGAAAACACAGCACGTCAATTTAGCTGATTAGGTCACATGAATCCTCAAGGGGAAGAAACAGATCTTGTCTCGTGTTGTGGGTATACAGGGATGCACTGATGATTACATTTCCTAAAATGTTTTCACAATAGGTCTAAATACAGGCATAGCTACAGGAACTGTAATGATTCAGCATGCTTTTCTCAGTAGACAAGATGTGGGAATTGACTTAGGGAAGTGACCTAATTTCCAGCCTTTTAGACCGATCCTTGATTTTTTAGAGAATTCTTTAATTGGACATTTTCCTGAGCATCCATTCAAAGTGTGAAACTGCATGCGGCGTTTCCCGTATGAGACGCCGTGTCTCTCTGTCCCTTCGGCCGGTATACTAGTGATGTGTCGTTCGTGAACGATTCGTTCATTTGGAACGAATCCTTACAAGGACTCGAGAGTAACGAGTCCTCCCAAAAAAAGATTTGTTCATTTTCTCGTGGCCACGCATCGGGACTTGCATAGGCTCAGCCAAGGAAACAGAAATGATTCGTTGAATGCAGGTCACGTGGAAAATGATCCTTCTGCCAACCAAGTGGTACCAGTGCGGAGCCTATGCAGGTCACGTGAAAAATGAACGATGAACGATGAACGAAACATTGACCAGAAGACACGGTCGGGAGGTGAACGATTCGTTCATCTGCCGGATACAGATTTTTCCTGTGACCTGCATAGGCTCAGCACTGGTAGCTAGAGAAAACAGAAATGATTCGTTCATTTTGACTGGGTCTTCGGATACGGATCTTAGGGTTAGGGTTAGGGGTTAGGGTTTGGGGTTAGGGTTAGGGTTAGGATCATTTTTCACGTGATCTGTGCTCAGAAGAGGAAACAGAAAGGATTTGTTTTCCTCGTTCACTTTCGCGTGGCTAGGTTTAGTAAAACGTGAATGATATTCCTTCACAAGTAATAATTACAGGTTTAGTTATTTTAACTTTTTTGTACTACTTAGAGTTCAGCGTAATAGTTATGCCGTGATAATTTAATGCTGTATTTTAATGGAGGAATTTATCTTACCCCCCCCCCATGAACGAATGACTAGAAAAAAGATTTGTTCATTTTACTGAACGAGATTCAAAGAACCGAGTCAGTAAAATGATCCGAACTTCCCATCACTAAGGTATAACATCACATTATGCTATTTTGTCTCGTGCTAAATAGCAAAAAGGCCCCGGATGTGGGTCAGTGGGTGTGGTGCAGGACCTCTGTTGGGCTTTCTGCATGAGTTGCCATTTTCAGCCTGCAGGTTGTATGCAACGCTACAGCAACACGATATGTAACCCCTTCCTGCAACAACGTTACTGAGGATTATTATACCGTTTCACTTTGACCTACAAAAACTGTAGGTTGTGCCATTAATATATTTAAACCTATACACCGTTCTCTTCAGTAACTTAAATATCCCCCACATCATGTGAATAAGGTGCCTTTTAGGAAGTGCAGGGCTTATTTGTTGGTGATTTCTTTATTAGCTAACGTTATCTGCCAGATGGTTAAACAGACAACGCAGACAGAGGATTCAACCTGTCGGTCTGTTAAAACATGATTATCAAATTAGCACGACTAGCAAAGAGAGCTGGCAAGATCAAAATGTTAAAAAGCTCCAGAAATGATTGATGAATGATCATTTCAAGCTAACGCTAAGCAGCCTGCTAACGTAACAACCTCGTAATTTAACCTCGTTAATTGTCACTCACATATAATCCTGTTCTTCATCGTTTGTCAAAACCACCATTTTACTCGAGTAAAACAAACGCAAAAAAGCCAAGCTTTGAATCGAAAACAAAACAAAGACGTTCGGGACTAAAAAACTAATGTTTAAGCGGTGGGTGTGTTTGGCAGGTTGTCGTTTGGTGCGCAGCTAGCTCCTCCTCGGCTAACGACGCTAGCTGGATGCTAGTTTGACGCTAGCTGGATGCTAGCTTGACACTGAGCAAACAGCTGCTGCCCTCCCACTGCGGACAAAGAGGAGAGCAGCGGTAAGAGCTCCCACTCCGTCTCTCTGTGTTACGCTTTTAAACAAGCATCACATCAAATATTTTGACTGCGAAATGTAAGAGCATTTGTATTTTCTTTAACCAATCACTCATCAGGGGATCTTTAACGAAACAAAGGGTTTTAACGTGTGGTAACTTTAACTATAACAACGTCATTTAGTGGGCATAAACAAATATTGATGACAGACTAGCTGTTTAATCTCCTCATGTGCACTTGTATGACAAAACCTGCAGTTTGTAATTGCGTTTATTTGTTCCCCTATTGCTTGGGGGAAGGGATAGCAAGTTAGTAAGATAATAGTATCATAGTAAAGTCCCAGGCTTCAGCTATTACATTAACTATCCTTGCGAAAAATAAGGATTTGTGCAATTTAAAAAATTGCACAAATTAAACTGCAGAGAACGTTGGTTTAGTTTAGTTACTGAGCGTGAACTGTAAATGTGGGATTTTTTACAGCCAATAAAAACAATGACACTGACAATCACCTCGTGAAGGCACAATTTCTTTCAATGTAGCCGCTCATGCCTGTAAATTCAACATACAGATACAGTGCATGCGATGTGGTCCAAGTCTTTTTAAAAAAAATCTTATCAGTGAATATTTCTATCAATAGACAGTCTTTGACATGCCTGATGAGACAAGTTCCTGTCATCATTTGCAGAATCCAGCCATTGGCAGGGCCATCATGCTCACAATCCCTATTTTCTCAGTGGTTTCAGATCAACCACAATCCCTCCTTTGATACAATCTGAAATAACAATGGCTTGTCTCCACCCGCACGTTAGATGCTGACTGGAGTTTGTGTGCCCGTTACCATAGCAGCCAGCGTAATAGGCCACACAGTCATCAACTTGTTCTGAACTTGCTGCTGGGAAAAAGACAGGATCCGTTCAGTTTGTTTCATCTGAGGTATAAAACAAAACATCTCTTATCCTGACAATTTCAGACAAGATTCTCAAAGGCATTTCTGTGCAGATTGTGAATGTGGAAAGCGAGGACGACAAGAACAGCTGCACTAGAAAGACTTAATGAGGCTTTGTGGTAATTTATTGCCTGTTCTGGCTGCAGCCAAGGAGCCTGATGAGGAAGAGGTGGAGAAAGAAGACATCTGCAGGGTGGAAAGGAACAAAAGCCAGCTGCAAAAATGGTCCATCTGTCAATAAATCGATGGGCCAAACACTCAATCTGCCTCATAGGACTAAATTCAGACACCAAACAGCCACTAAGTCCTTATCGATCAAGACTGATTACGTGTCCTTAAAATCCTGGATAGAAACAAAGCTCTGCTCATCATAAAGTTGAGCATTTTCAGTTCAGCGGTCACAGAAGAACTACAGAAACTGAACATTTAACTAAAAACATCAAATAGTTCATTACTGACCGTTTCATTTCTTCAGTGGACTGAAACAGAAGCCGAAGAACATGAACATGTTTTAGTCTTTAAATATAAAGGTATGCAGGGGTTGTTACCTCATTATTTGCAAATTACTGCAAAGTCGCCAAAGCTGTGTTGAAACCGTTCAATGTTAAATAGAAGGCATTTAAGGTTTGTTTGAGATTCTTTATCATGTTTATGATTTCTATGCAGTTAACGGCTCAACCAACTAAAGCTTTCCCAATGCTAATGATTGTTTTTTAAACCAAGCCATACTTAGTGTCACAATTCGGTATGCCGTGATTCAAGTCTAGAGGCATCTTAGCTTAAGAGAAGGAATGTCTCGTTAGGCAAAACTGCTGCAAATGTCAGCGTCTCAAGAAGAAGGTGAAGAAGAGGAGGATCACGCCTTCGCTTTTATCTGCACTAAAACCACTGTTTCCCCTCCACGTGACAGAGAAAAACCTCCTGACTTCCAACATGTTACAGGGATTCTTAAAAAACGACAAACTTATTTCACTATGTTTTTTTAATAATACATATACATTGTTTAAATAATTAAACCCGTTTTTCTTTTTCTATGCTAGCATATCTTCAGTATACAATCTACATCTTATATCAGCAAACTGTATGTTCAAGTAGAACCTGTCAAGGATAATACCTTAAAAGTACATTTAACAGTACATTCATTTCAAAAGGACATAGACATTTTAATCCATCTTAATGTAACAGTAGTACATCATTTCACATTTTTCAATACATTTCATCTTTTTAAATAATACATTATATATTATATATATATAGTTGCATTTTGGAATGAAATCCTCCTAATTGTATACTCTCTTCTGATCAATTATGTTTGTCTTACGCTTTATACAATTATAATAATCTTTATAATATGTAACAGTGCATTACAGTCCAGTAAAAAACTGCTTCTAACATTCAGAAGCTGTGTCATTTTTTTTAATAGAAAATGAAAACAAAAATACAGATTCAAATTACAAAAAAATTGAATTTGGTGTTTGCAGCTCAAATGGAAAAGGAACAATTATTTTATTTTACTGCTGCAGTTTGGCATTATCTGGGATAATTTGTAGTGACACAATGCCGCTAACACAGTGTAGAGTTACAGCCGTGTGTCCGAAATTAATCAATAGTTTGATATCGTGTGATAAATAAATGTGATGTCCAGAACTTTCAATATCTGTGCCGAAAGAGTTGTCAGATGTTTCTACATTTTGCAAACGTATGTAACAAGCTGTTTGGATAGTGACATTGTTACCCAACCGCAAATAAACACAAAACAAAACTATATGGACAGACGAAGGACTAAATAAAATATTTTGATTTACAAAAGAAATCCTCATTCATCATTAAATTTGACTATAGGTATTTCACAATGAACTTACAGCATAAGAGCTTCTTGATACATAAAACTATCTGGGTTATTACATGTAACGCACTCAGTTACTGTTTGAGTGTTTGCAGCAATTTCCTTTTTTTAAAGTGCTTTTAGCAAAATGATAAGATTGTGAGAGGTCGAATGACTTTGCCCTGAGGAACACCACCCCTGGTTTTTACATTGAGCCTTGCATACTGTTTTTACAACTAACAAATCTTTGGACTGATGAGACTGATACAGAAAGAGAAGACACAGTGTAAGATTCATGAACCCAAATAAAGGGCTTAGAGCTGCAGATATGTTACCGGGCGAACAAGGCACCAAAGCCATTTTAGAAAGTACTCGCTTTTCTCTCATCAAAGGAGGCCGAGGGGATACATTGACCTCTAAAAGTAACTTTCAAAGTCCATTTTTTCCACTTACTTTGAACCAACCAGCTTTGCTGCTCCGTGCTGCATATTGAGGTCGCTGCCAGCATTGTAAAACACTCACACGAACATGCAGCGAGTAATAAAAAGCTTTTGACTGTAGTCGGTCCTTTGAACCTGTTTCCTGTGCATGCGATGCACACGCCCACTTCATAGCGCACTGTCCTGTGTGTTGTTGTCAACTATAAAGAGCGAAGAAGGATTCTTACTGGAGCTCCCTGCTCTGTGTTTGGAGCTGCTGGATTTACTGGATTCTTGCAGAACTTCCGCATTACTGCTGTCTGATCCACTGCTGCCACTCCTGCCTTTCCTCTGCGGCCTCTCCTCTCGCTGAGGCATTCTGGTCATCGCCGCGCTGTTGCTTTTTTCTCCGTTGTCTTTGCCTTTAGATTTTACCGTGTCAGCTTTTGGCTTTTTGGATCTACCCTCTTTTGGTTTGCTGTCACATGATTTGTCTTGCTGCTGTGGAGTCTTGCTTGGCTGAGGGTGTGTGATTGGCGGCTGCGGTTGGATGGTGGGAGAAGTGACCCTGGACTGCAGTGTAGTGAGGCTGGTTTGTACCGGTCTGTTACCAATGACCACATCCGTGAGGACGTCGTCATCCGTCTGCTCTTTGGCGAAGTTGACAAAAACCTTAAGAATTAAAGCCGTATTAGCGTCAAATCAATTAAGTGACGTTAAACATCTAGACATCTAGAGTTTTCCTCCTTCCCGCTAACAACAGCCAGAGAGCAAAGTGCGATGGGAAATAGCACATGTCGCCTCAGTTATGGATATTTGATGCAATGCTCTATTCAATCCAATTTACAGCAGATCCCAGATCGGGACGTTTTCACCACCCTCGTAGAAATGTCTCCAGTTGCATCGTTCATTCACTCTCACCTGGTCCAGCGTGGTCTGTGAAACAGAGAAGTCGATGATGCCCAGCTCCTCGTGGTTGTTGGCCAGCACGTCGAAGATGCGAGCCAGGCAGCAGGCGTGTGAGGGCAGCTGGAAGTGCAGCACGCTCTGGTGGCGCTCCTTCAGCTCGATGCTGGGAAAAGAGGTCTTTAGATAAGCGCTGACGGGGCATGAGTCCGGTTCGGACTGAGTCTCCATCAGTCGGAGGATGATGGTGTAGCCATCACCAAACCTGGAAGGTGGAGGACGAAACAATAGTCAAGGCTTTTTATGTACTGCTATAGGTTAATGAAATTTGATTTAGAGAAGCAGGTGGTTTGTTGCAGAGTAGAATTATGCACGCAGTTTACTGTATAGCTCAGACTGGGACTAATAAACCCGTTTAGCATTGAGACTTCCCCTTTCCCGTTTTATTATTTACACGACTGTCGTATTAGACAGAAGATCGGGAGCTTACCTGTTCTTCAGGTGTTGCACAGATCCGAGACACTGGAATCTGCCGTTCACCATGATGGCCATTCTGGTGCAGAGCGCCTCACATTCCTCCATACTGACCACACAGACACAGGAAGAAAATACGTCAACACATATTCTACACTGTATAATACACATCATGAGAACGTTGTTGATGATACTGCTATTCTTTATTTCTTGGTGAGTACATAGCTGTACTATCATGTATCCATCTCTGCTTACCTGTGGGAGGTGAGAACTACAGCTCTTCCTTCTTTGGTGACGCTGAGGATGCAGTTCCACAGAAACCTTTTGGCTTTTGGGTCCATGCCGGTAGTTGGCTCATCCTAACAAGAGGCAAATACACCAAAGGCGAAGTGTAACTCAAAATACTAATACAAGTATATTCATATTTATTGCAGCACATTTTAAGAATGATAAAAAATATATATTGTGGCAGTGGCATCAACGTTAAAGTCGCTGAAACATGGTCGTCAAAGAAAGGACATGCGTGTATGTTTGTGATTTAAGGGTTGCAATAGATAAGTATTTTAACTGGTGATATTAGGTTTCATCCTTTGTGTTGATCTGAGCAGTTGATGAACAGGTTGTTTCCTCACTAGGAATATAACGGGAGGAGCCCCGATGAGGGAGATGGCCGTGGAGAGTTTCCTTTTGTTGCCTCCGCTGTAGCCTCCGGCCTCACGCTCAGCGTACTGGGTCAGTCCCAGCTTCTTCACGCCCCACTGCGCCACCTACAGTACATCAGAGAAGATACGTCGCTCTATAATCCTGCATATTGCAGCATAACGCGCTGGTCACTCGACATCAAGTCCCTCGAACAATTTCAGAAGTCACATGACTTAATGTCTTTGTTTTGTGTCCGAGGTGAACTGCTGCTCTACGTTACCTTGGTGACAGACTCCTCTGGGACTCCCCGCAGGCGGGCATAGAGCTCCAGATGCTCCCGGCCCGTCAGCAGGTCGCTGAGGGCGTCAAACTGTGGACAGTATCCCATCAGCTGGTGGACTCGCTCCATCTCTGTCATCACACTGAGAACCACAGAAGAAACCTTCACAGTACCGTACTTCCAAAACTAACAGTGCTACTCCTGTTGTTATTGGGACTATTACAAATGATAACCATACGTCAACTGCTGATGTTACTATACTACTATGTTTTTTGGTATTACCACTTAAGCAATAACACACCTTGTAAGTAGTACACCTGCAATGACGGCCCATTAATCGTACTTTATCTATTGGCACTACGTAATTGTGATATATACAGTCGGTTTAAACTGAGTAACTATATGCTGAAAACTAAATGTTTTTTAATGTCTTAAATGTGGTCACAAAGTAATAGAGTTGGTGCTGCAGAGAGATTGTACCTATGTTGATTAAGGAAAGCCTCTCCGTAGGTGATGCTCGTGTCTCCGGTCAGCATGCGAAAGGTGGAGGTCTTTCCTGCTCCGTTCACCCCCAGCAGGCCAAAACACTTAGATATAACCACAACGTAAAGTTACAAATATGTCCACACGCGCCACAGCTGGGACCATTACCGTGAGACTATGTTAACTAAGCATCAAAAAAGTCCTGGAGTACTTGATGAAGTTGAAAGTGTGGTTGTACGTATAAAACCAGCTGTAGCGGACATAGCTTTCTAGTTGTAGGCCAAGAGAAGCAGCAGCAGTATTCTTTAGAAGCAGCAATACGAGATGGGGAAGTATTATAACTCTCACCTCTCCCCGAGGAATCCCGAGGCAGAGGCGATCCACCGCCGGCTTCCTGCCTGATTTATAAACCTGCAAAACAAAAGTCCTTTTTACCGCGACAATTCTGTCTCAGCAAAAACTCTGCCGGTGTACGATGAAAACAATTACGCATGAATGCAGTTTTAATGTTTTGTGGCTTGTGCTTCATGTTAACTGCGCAGAGTGCAGACATTGGCTGTGATTCAGCCCCGGGAGTGTTAACAACGTGACACGTTTGACTTTTCAGGCCGGCTGTACCTTGCTCAGGTCGATCATGGAGAGGATGTCTGATTGGGCTTTGCCGCCCGTGACCCTCTCTCTCTCCCTGTGGACGTCCTCATCCTCTGGACCAAGCGGAGGCATCTCTGGCTCGCCCCACCACGACCTTAACAGTGAGGTATAAGATCACCCCGAATCACTTTGGTACAGATGCGGCAGATTGGCTTTGTAACAAAACATCTGTCTGACCAAGGGTTGTTTTAAAGTTACCCGAGGCGAATGAAGAACTTGTACTGTAGCAGAATGGTGAAGATGAAGAAGATAACCCCTTCGGCTGCCATCGCAAACAGGTTCTTCCCTACGGAGTCCCAATGAAGAGGGTTCAGTGTCTGCTTCGAACCTGGAGGAGGAAAACCACAAGCGAAGAAAATCTTCACGTACATTTATCTTTATAGATCGTACATCCTGTGGGTTTGCTGCAGTCCAAGTAAAAGGTATGCAGGCAATAATGCCCCATATGGGTGTAGCAACACCCTTCACTTTGAATAAAAGGTTTGGGTTCAACTAATGTTTGGCTTTAAAATGGGGGGGCGTATGTGTACCGAGTCTCTGGAAGGCGTCTGCCATGGCCTGGTTCTTAGCCATGTCGATGAGCCCTCGTCCCAGGCAGAAATGAGGGAAGATGAGAAACACCTTCTTCAAAATCTTGTTCACCTCGTTGAGATGCTGGAAAAAAAAAAATCCCATAACTTGTGGTTGAAAGAGCGCATAGATGTTTAATTCTGTCGGTTTTTGCGTCGCCATTTTCGTGCGCTCTGTACCTCGTCAACAAACAGCTCCAGGACGAAGGTGGCGATGCTGCCGTTGATTCCGATGAAGAGGTTGATGGAGGTGAGGACTACATAGGCTGTGCTTGGGACGCTGAACAGAAAGGACGCTGGGTACATCAGAGGGGTGATGGACCACCTGAAAGGGATGATGAGTTTATTCAATACACAGTCATTATTTTTGTTACAGACTAAGGAAAGACCACTGTAAATTGAAGTTTATATGGAAGGGATGGAAAAAGATTAATACGGGGGAAAAAAAACGAGTCACCGATCATGCAGTTCAGTCAGATCTGATGATGCGTCATTTCAGTCGAGCAGCGAGGACAGAAGTCGGAGGATTGTGAGCCTGAACGTACCCGTAGAAGAGGAGGAGCAGGACCAGCGCAGGCAGGTTGGTCTCTGAGACGTACGACTGCTGCTGGAAACAGATGAAGATCAGCACCACCATGGTAGCTGGGACTGTGTAGTTCAACTGAAGAGGACATTTTAGAAAAGGAGAAAAGGAAAAGTATTTATTTTATCCAGTGAATATTATTTTCTATTGAGAATCATCTGATGCAGATTATTGCCTGGAGAACAAAGGTGAGCTTTTGTACCGTGAAAGTCCTTCGAGAATTGAGGTTTAGGTTTTAAGCCCCAAAAATGCAGGGAATACAGAAAGTAGAACATACATTGCCATCATTGAAATGCAGTGCTGTTGTGTCTATGAACACGGCCTTACATTTTGTACAACTTTGATAACTTAACAAAGCAGAATTTTTCAAAAATATATCGGTTGAATGAGAAAACAATGTGGGTGAAAGACTTTTTTCTGTAAATCCCACCAAATATGAAATACGTATTAATGTAATTGCAGAGTGAGATTGTTGTCACAATGTGAAAACTTGGGGCTGATAAGAGTAATGAAAATGTCTCCTTTCTCTCGAGCACTGACCATGTCCCAGGTGAAGTTGGCCAGCCAGTAAAGGATCGGTTTTACCCCGCTGACAAATTGAAGGTGTTTGGCTTTACTGACTCGCTCCTCAATCAGAAAGAGGACAAAGCTGGCCGGCACAAAGGACAAGGCGAAGATCACGCAGATGGAGACCAGGACATCTACTGATGTGGTCATCCTGACGGAGGGAACCAGGTGGGAAAAGTCGGCCAAAGAAAAACACATATCATCAACACACATTCATGTAATATGACACGCTTGTTTTTACTTCTGGAGTTCAACTCTTGAACCACCGAAAAAAAAAAAAAAAAAACGAGGCCAACAACATCAACCCTTAAAACTCAGTTTTAAAAATCGGTGAACTAACATGGCCATTTCTGTGAGTTGTTCCTTGGTGAGGTTGAGCGGGTGGTTGTAGGCGGTGATGCCGTGTCTCATCCTCTCCGGACCCGGTGGCAGACTCGCTCTCAGCAGGCCGTTGTTCATCACGTTGACAAATGACACCATGGCATGCCACCCTTTGTTATTGTACCACACCTGAGAGACCCAACGGGGGAAGAAACACTTTTTACGGTCTAGATTCTTCCCTGAAAGACAGGCCAGTGAACAGGAGGAGAGAAGACAGATAATCAGGCACATTGTACCTTGACATTGCTTTGGCGGTTCAGTCCTCCTAGAAAATCTGGCAGTCTGTTGAGCAGAAGATCCAGCGAACTGTTCTGTGATGAATCAAAGAACATCAGAGAACATTAACAACATTCAGGAAATAGTAGTAGTTTCGGTTAAATGCGCTTGAAGCCTTGTTTATACCTGCTGAACTTGATAACGCGACCTGATCGCCATGACGGAGTCCTGGACGTGGTGGGGCGGAGATAAAGTCTGAGTAGAGCTTCCCCCGAGAGAGAAACCTCCATATCTGTAATTATAACAGTTTGTCTTTTGTCAGTCCTCCAGTAGAATTACGTTTAAGCAGGTCTACAAACCCATTCTATGACTGCAAGTACTGCAGATATTTAATATACAGATATTAAACCAGCAGCTTACCTGAATTCATTCACCCACTTCTTGGTTTTTAGACTGTTGATGACACAGAGAGAAAAGAGTGAATGTGTGAAGGATATTCTCAAAAGGGAACACAAACAGGGTTAATGTATATCCATTCATAGCTCAGTCATTGAGCTAGTTATTGGCAACAATTGCATATTGTCTTGTTAGGGTAGACCTAAAATAAATATAATTGACCAAATAAGATATTTGACATCCCTAAATTTATCCTAAGTATTCTTAAAAACTTAAAAGAAGCTAAAGGAAAACCAAGTAGCAAAAATGAAATGGAATACCAAACAGCACTGTGTCATCATGTTTAATGAAGCACCTTTTTTTGAGAATCTGAGAGTAGGTTTTCACCAGGTAGTCAGAGATGTTATAACTTGTTAGATTCTGCAGCACATCTCCAGTCACCCTCTTAATCTAAAAGACAACAAATATCAACATCTCAGGAGTCACACAGCGTCGAAGTCAAGTTAATCAGCATTGCGTTGCGCCAACACGCCACTCCGGCCACACCGACCTGCGGAGGCGGCAGTCCGCCGGCACCCTGCGGGCAGTCGGGGAGCATCCGGCGCACGTCCTCCGTGCTGCACTGGCAGTCGGGAGACGGGGCGCCTCTGCTCCAGTTGCCTTTGCTGAACATTTGCCAGGTGGAGAAGGAGACCTGAGGTCGCATGAACTGGCCCCCCCGCGCGCCTTCACACCTGCAGGGAGAATGGGGAATGGAGATAGAGCAAAGGCTTGCAGCATTGAAATGCTGCCCGGGTGTGTGGTATATTAAATAAAGCTACAGCAAACAACCTCAAAATTATGAGAGATAAACCGATTTCCCCAAAGCAAAAAGATTTGTGTTTACAGAGAGAACGTTTACAATGTGGCATTATATAATCAAGTGCCAGTAAAGGTCAGTGATTACTTAATACACACAGTCAAGGATGAAATTACAAGGGGATCATATTCATCTCAACCCTACACAGCAAATCATTGTAGTCACAAGGGTTGTCTTACGTGCTGTTCTCTTCCTCCTCTTTCTCCATGCACTTGGTACCAAAACCGGGCTGGTCCAGCAAAGCTTCCAGCAAGTTCTCCATGGCTGGGTTCCCAGGTGCATCATTGCTGTAAATATATCAAAGCAGCGGGACAAACACTTGTCAAAACTATTATTAAAAACTCATCTGGTGAAAAGCATGACCCGTGTTCCCACACGAGTAGACCAAACCAATTCCCGCCTGAAGAAAACGATTGACGTTCTGGTGAACGTTCGGGAGGAGGCCTACCTGAAGAACGTGAACTGTTCTCCATACATCCAGGGCTGCAGCTGCAGGGAGGGATACTTCCCGAACGGAGGAACGATGAGGCTGAAGAGCAGAGCGACCAGCACGAACACAGCGGGCAGGACGACCTGAGGCCAAAATCAAACTCAATCTAACTAATGATGTACAGGCATTAAATTAACCGTTGACTACTAAATAGTCAACAAAAACTACCGGATGGGGGACAGCGTTTGTTTTGAGAGCTCTCATACAGCTGTTATCCATATCTTTATTCACCTGAGCGAAGAAGCCCCTGCGGCTCCTTCGAGCATAAAGCCAGCGTTTGATGAAGAGAGCCCTGAGCTGCTGCCAGGTCAGCCACCAGCCGGTCAGTGGCAGCTCACCTCGGCCATCTCCACTAAGTGGGTCCGTCTCCTGGGGTTCTGCAAGCAGGGTCAGCACAGATTGAGAGAACAACAAGGCATCGTGCTGATAAATACATAGACCTCTCTCAGTGATCTGGACTTTCTGCACAATGGAGACGCAGAGACACAAAACTACAATAGCAATTGAGAAGGACAAATTTGCAAGTTGAACTTAAAGTTATTGGAAACAAAGAAACAAATGGAAACAAATGAAAGCTGACATGCAGCTTTCATGAACCCACAAACAGTTAAATTTCAAATATTCAAATATATTCGAATACAAGACATTTAACTAGTTTATATAGAACTACATTTCCATATAGGATGATCTGAAGATACCTTGCTTTTGAAGCCTTTTCCTTCCTGGCAGCATTATGACAACAAACAATCACAGTTGAAGATGAAAATGTAACACTGAGTGGTGTGAACACAAATCCATGCGTCTGCAAGTTTTTATGCTTACCGGCTTCTGGTTCTTCATCACGTTGTCTCTCAGCCATCTGCCCAACTGATGAAGGCTGCCTGCAGGGAGATCCGGCCTGTGGCTCTGCTTCCTCATCCACGCCAGTTTCCTTTGCCACTCGCAGGAAGATCTAAAAATGGACCAAATGACCATGAAACAAAAATGAAATTCCCACTTACAGACACAACAAGATGCTTTTGCAGTGGAACGATTTTAGTTGTGACCTAAAATCTGTTGGAGGTCAAGATGGCTGGATTGTAATAATAACTCTCAACTAATGCAGCTTTAAGTTCAAAGTGCTACATTCAACTTCAACTTGTTTAAGCTGAAACTTGTTTTTTTGCCAGGTATGAAAACAAAAGATGTTCCCTTTTTTGATGAAGAATTGAAACTTGAAAAGACTCTTCAGGCCCTATTAAGTGAAGATGCAGGCAGCAGGTGGCAGTAAAAAAGCATTTATCAAAACTAACAGAGCAGAGGGTGAGTTCCTAGGAGTAAGTACACCTATCAGAGTGCACTACCAGTGCTAATCTGATGCTAACGTTTAATCCCGTTAAGAACATGGCAGCTCCACAAATATCCAGCCCTACAGATAAGGCGTGGTTAAGCTCCTGCACGCTCACACATACTACATTTAACTCGGTATGGTTGGTAGGAAAGCGTTTCTAGGTAAAGCACTCTTTTACGTTAGCTGTAATAAAATTCGTTATTTGTAAAAATCATGAATCTTGAAGTCAAGTCAATATTAGTACCGATGGTCTCTAAGGTGTTGCTAACTCTTGTTCCTCTACCAATACTCTTTGTTTGGTTTATAAAAAAAATAAAAAATGGAAGCTCACTGAATGTCTTCTGAGCGTTTCCCAGGTAGCTTATTCATTTATTCATCCAAAACAATGCACACGTCTCACCTCTTCCAGTGTGCTGTCTGACAGCCCGTAGCTGCTGATGCCGAGCTCGGTCAGCCTCTGATCCAGTTCGGACAGGAAGACGGCCAGGCTGCTGTCCTTAGCTGCTGTCTGCGGCAAGTTGATCACCGCCTCGCGCCCCGACTCCTCTACTAGTCTCGCCCCCGCGATGTGCTGCTGCGCCAGGGAGAGCAACGCCGCGAGGTCTGCAGCGGACACAATAAGGCGTGGGGGGGGGGGGGGGGGGGAAGAACATGCAGTTAGTAAAAACTCATCGCTGCACTTATTAACGAACATTGAACGGCCTCAGTGACACTCACATGAGCTACTCTCCTCACTTCCCAGGCCGGTGTCTTCACTCATGGAGGACTCACTGTCCTGAAACACAAAGATTTGTTTGTTTTATTTTTGTCTTTACTTCAATCCTGTCCTGTTGTTATCAACCCATCCAGGTTATTGAACTTAACTTTTTAAGATATAGATCAACACTAAAATATCATTTTTTTAAATTATAATTTGCGATTTTAGGAATGGACATTTGGAGGATGCATGTGACAGCAAAGCGGCAAAGCATGCGTGTATACACATTTTTGAGGATTATTAAAGATAGACCTTGAGAGCGGGCAGCTTGTTGGTGCTGGTGCTTGTGCTGGTGCAGATACTGGTGCTGCTGGGAGTGCTGGTATTTAGTCCCTCCCTCTTTACCACAGTCAGATAGTAGCCAGATCCAAGGCGGGATTTCAGGAAGAGAGGTGAGCCACAGCAACACAGCTTTCCCTGGGAGATAATCGCAATCCGGTCACCTAGCAGCTCTGCTTCATCCATGTAGTGGGTGGACAGGATGATGGTCCGGTCTGAGGGAGAAAGACATAAACAGACACATATTGACTTATTTTTTATGTTGGTCAAAGACTTTTGGGGGGGTTTAAGTTGGGATATCTCCTTCCAGTTTCTAGATTGTCACCATTTCCCAAAAGAAAAGTACCCCCAGGTTTTACAGCAAGATTAAAATAGAAAGAATGGATCTGGCAAAGTATACTGTATTTATTGACTCAATGTGACTTTCCAATAACAACGAGATCCATAGACCCGATCATTCACCTTTGCGATATTTAAGCAGTAAATCCCAGATCCCTCTGCGTGAGTATGGATCAACTCCGGCTGTGGGTTCATCCAAAACAACCACCTTGGAGCCTCCAACGAAGGCTATTGCCACCGACAGCTTTCTCTGCATTCCACCTGACAGAGACACAGAAGGAGGTTTTGGATTGACATCCCCTTCTACAAAATATGGTCATGTTTATATACAGCAATCCAACTATCAGGCTTACCAGAGAGGTTTTTGGTCTGTTCATGTCGTTTATGCAGCAGGCCGACATCTTCCAGCAGAGTGTCCAGCTCAGCTTTCACTTCTGCTTCAGACAAACCCTTGAGACACCCATAAAACCACACATGCTCCTCCACTGTCAGTCTGCAACAGAGAAAAAATATGATCATTTTAAGTATTCAATCCCTTATTTCATAGTGCAGAGTCCATAAAAGTGGTTATCACTAATAATTCAAATCCATCTATTAAACCCACCCACACAAGTCCAAAGCGATGTTCAATAACAGCGTGTCACAAGTTTTAGTGAAAGAACATGAATGCTGGAAAGCAAGTCTTACATGTCAAACAGGATGTTGTGTTGTGGACAAACTCCCAGCGTCCTCCGGATGATGTCCAAGTCATGACGGATGTCCAGCCCTTTAATGTACACAGTTCCCGAAGTCGGTGGAAACAGGCCAGTAAGGACAGATCTGACAAACAACGGATGCATTAGCACATCTTCCACTTTAATTGATACAAATCTGTTATTTTATCCTGTGAGCACTGGCGTGCTGACGCTAGCGTAGTAACTCAATCTTCTCTGTGTCATTTTCCCCCATCATGCACCTGTTGTAGCTATTATTCGAAACAGCCCATACAGATTGAACACATTAGCGCTTATAGTGATCGGCCTTTACTCATCCTTTTCCTTACATAGTGGTGGTTTTGCCGGCTCCGTTGTGGCCGAGGAAAGATGTGATCTGCCCCTCGTAGAACTTTAGGTTGAGGTGATTCACGGCCAGTTTGCCTCCCTTCTTGTATATTTTCACCAGGTTTCTGACGCTCACGCCCAGGATAAGGTCACTCGGTTCTGGCTCAATCTGATCTGATGATAAAAAAGAATTACTTCTAATGTATTTAAAAGGGACAACGTCCACTTGAATATATAAATGTGGGTGAGAAACAATGGAAAAGGACCTAGTGGTAATTATCCTCTCACAGTGATTTATACTATTAATACTACAATCGTAGTATTTGAGCAGAAGTCATCGGCCATCAAGGTGTGAAAATAAGTGATGTGGCATTACGGGTAACACAGGTCAGACTCGCTGCACAGACACAATTAAAATGTTGACAACATTGTCAGCTCCAGTCTCCTTGTACTCTGAACCTCTGTAGTTAATGGGCTTATTGACTAGGCTCATCAACTTGACTATTGGCTTTAACATAACACAAAACAACAAGCACAGACTTATTGCTGGTGTTGAGACCAGAACTGTGTCCAATAAACAAGAAATGTATCAGAAATACGACATCTGTTCACAAATTGATGGCCTGCAAAAATACTTTTCCAGTCTGGTTTTGACAACGAAAGCCAAATGTAGCTATGATTTCTTTGTACCTTCATCTTCTTCTGTGGGTGGGGGCGGGATTGGCATGCCGGCCTCCAGAGGAACTCCACCCCAGTAGTTGATTTGGAAGATGAAGTACCAAGGCCTTGGGATCCCATATTGACCTGGTGTAACGCACGCACGCACGCACACACACACATCAACATCAAGATCAACATCAAGATCATTATTTTAATACTGCATTTTGATGAAAGAACCAGTGTCACTTAAACAGTCAGAATATGTTTGTGCTAACCTATAGATATAGTGGCCAATAATACATCTGAAAAACATATTCATTGGGTTTCTAAAAAGCCATTGCAGCACAATAAAAATAGAATGTTTAATATTTAAGAAAAAACAGTATATACTAATACTGAGATGTAATTTTACATTTTTAACAATATATAAAGCTATCGATTACATCCAATTTGCTTGAAGTTGCAGCTATAGAATCTAAAATTGCTTTTTCTCTAAATGAAATGAGGTCATCAAACAAAAATCTCTAGTCCTGTCTAAAATTAAAACATGTTTACAATGTAGTAGTAGTATACTCATTTGTCAAACACATGGGAAATTCTCAAAAACTATTAACCCAACCCTCTTTGCTCACTCAACACAAAAGAAATGACACTTAATATGACACTAATCCTCGTACCAGGGAACACAGCTTCGATGTACCAGGCTGCCACAGCATAGATGAAAGCGTCCACATAGAGCATGACTATAGAGGTAGTAAAGCTGTAGGAGTCTCCTTCCACGGGACTGGAGTGGAGGTTCGACCACTGGATGCCCACGCCTTGCTCTTCGTACTGAGAGAAATACTCACATCCGAAGCCAAAGGCCACAGGAGACAGGAAACTCTGAGAAAAGAGAGATTGGATCTAGCTATCAACCTTGGCACAAGAACACTTAAAATGCTGCAATGCTGTGTTGCAGGTAAGTTACATTTGAATAATTAGATACATTAAATGTAATGGTCTACTTTCTCATGCAATCTATACGTTAAGTATTTCTATTTTTTTCTTAAAAATAACTATGTACATCTAATCCTCATTTTTGTCTAATTCATTTTGTAGAAACGTGGAGAGAAACGTTCTCAATGTTTTATTTTACTTACAGCGAGGACTCTGTAGGTGGTGGTGAGCCGGTCTCTCCAAGCTACACACAGTACGTAAGGCAGGTAAAGGCCGAAGTAGATCAGCCCTCCACATGCAGCGGCCAGGTTGGCTTTAGAGAAGAACGTACTGATGAGGAAGCACTGCATGATGGTGGCGGTGGCAAACGCCGTCAGGAAGAAAAACACAACAGCTGGGTTGCTGTATGGCAGAATGTCCCCCCACTGGAAACAACACACACCGGAATCAAGGCCTCGCTGTAAAATGCTTCCACCAACCCGTCACGTTGACGTGAACGCTTTACATTGAACCACACAATATGCAATATAAAGAATTATTTTGCACTTTACTATCAGTCTAGAAATGAAAGAATCAATCATTTCTATATATATGTTGTATATCATCATGTGTTGAGTGAGTGGTCATCTTGCCTTGAGCAGAGCAATGAGGAGCCCTGCAGAGAACAGGAAAGGAACAATGCTGCTGATGAACCAGCTGAGCCACAGCGTTCCCGTTCCCAGACCCATAATCCTCATGGTTTCCTTCAGCCTCGCCTCCTTCTCGTACACCACGCCTTTGATGATCATGGCCACCGAGTAGATCCAGGCCAGCGTCATGAAGAGTGGCAGAGAGCGGTTCAGCACCCGGAGGAAACTGTTAATGGTGACCACATTAGGCTTTTATAAAGTGACTCTCTGCTGCTACAGACAAGCTTCTAGTGTCACGGCGGTTCTGAGCTGTTTCCGGCGCCACAACGTGACACTGTGTGCACACTTTCTTTTAAAAATGAGAGGACAGCATGCGACTCACACATCGTCCACATAGCAGGGATACGGCATCTGCTGGATGTAGATGCCGGTGGTTTGTTGGACTCCGGTCAGCATGCGACTCACAGCACTCTCCACTAGGTCCTGAACGTACACAAAGCCGCCCCAGATGTAGCGCATGTCATTAAATGGGTCAGCTGCAGGACCAGGATCCCAAAATCTGGAGGAAAAACAACACGCAAATGAGGGTTTAGTTTTTTAAAATCCATATTCACTACAAGTATGTATGGCTGAAGAAATGGACGGAAAAGCTGTAGTCACATGGCCCCGAAACAGTTTACTTTCACTTCTAAGAACAGAAAAGTTCAACGGAGGTGATGTTAAGGAAGGGCTCCATTAACAAAGGATGTTTTGGTTCTTGCTCAGTTACCTGTCCTTGATCTTGTTGGTCCTGGTCACATCATCAATGTCCATTCTGATTTTGTAGGAGACGTGTGGCGGCAGGTCTGGGGACGAGGAGTTGGGCAGCAGGAAAACCACACCAGCCCAAAACTGCCTGTCCTCAAGTAGCTCCAAAGCCCTGTCAATCATCTGACCCTCGGACTCCAACCCCTCCAGCTTGTTCAGAGAGAAACACTGCAGAGAATAAAGGAAACACAAACACGATGAATGATTAAAAAATGGTCAAGACAAGCAAGTAAAACTTTATTTAAACTTGTACTGATTCACTGTTTACTACTTGACTATTTTCCCATCCAATCAATTTCCTAAGAATATAAAAGAGCTCAAAAGTGACGTCTAATCCTTGTGACTAAAAAGCAGGTAAAAGTATTATATGCCCGAGAAAAACCAAACAAAAGAATGCCAGGGGATGATGACCTCAGAGACTTCTGCGAGGGTGGTGATGGTGTGGCCGAGGTCGTTGTAGATGTCCAGCCAGGTAGGCGGTGCTTTAGGATTCCTCGGGGCATCTGGCGAGGGTGTGGACAGAAAACGTGCGATCCGAGAGGCCGTCCAGGATGTGTTCTCCAGGCGCAGGTTTACCAGTACCGCGACCTCTGGCCGCCTCAGCAGATCCTGTGACACACACACACACACACACACACACACACACACACACACACACACACACACACACACACACACACACACACACACACACACACACACACACACACACACACACACACACGGTTGTCAATTCAAGACATTTGGTGACATTACATTTGTTACCTGAAGACCGATAAAAACTTAATCCTAACTTTTGACCTAAATCTAAAGATTTAGGTGTATTTCGTCAAAAAGGAAGGCGAGTCCCCACAATGTGACTGTGTAATCAGACTAATGCTCACACACAAACTGTATTTCTAGCACTCACCCTTTCTCAAGAGAGAGAGAGAGAGAGAGAGAGAGAGAGCAGTGGTTAAATCAGACCTGCAGCAGCTGGATCTCCACGCTGCTCTCCATGAAAGTCTTGACTCGTGGTCCGACTTCCATCCAGGCTGCATTCAGCTCCTGGAGGATCTGCATGTCCTCGAATGTCTTGTTTACCTTCAGCAGACACAAATACTAGTTAGCTTTAACGACATGATGATAATTTTTCTCTAGAGGACAGAAAGTTTGTAGGGTGCCGGCGCTTGGATGGACTCTGAGGTTTGAAACCGTACCTCTTTCATGACTTGTTGTATTGCAGGAGTGTCGGGTGTGTAAAGCAGTTTTCCGATGAACAGAGGTTTTATTCCTCTCCACACAATGCGGGACAGAGGGTTGGACTCCAGACCGTGGATCAAATTTTTACAGAAGGGAGCTGCATAGAGGAAAGCACAAGTAAGACAAAAACAACGGGTTAAACTCATTTAAGGTGTCGGTGTGGGTCCTAAAGAACACAAATTGATTGGGCCACAAAAAAGCTGGTTTTTTATTTATTTATCGTAAATTGCAAATGAGAAGAGGAGCACTCTAAAACTTTTGCAGAGAAAACCATTGATTCAGTTTTGCAGGTTTTCGTTAATATCAAAGCTCCTCACTGGTGTTGTTGTCCCCGTCCGTCTCCGGGTCTGTGTCTTCAGTGCCATTCTTTCCTAAGAAGGACTTGATGTCATTGTCCTCATACCAGTTCAGTGACGGGATGCGCTCACCGCCAACCTCAGGGTGACCGCACATGATCCTCGAAAAGGCACGAAAACTCTCCCTGGGCATCGCCGAGCGATTTTCTGGAGACAACAGGCGAAGAGCTGTGCTCATGTCCGCGAAGCTGGACAGAGATGAGAACTGAAGGAATACAGAGAGGTAAGAACAGAAGATTTGGAGAAGCAGGGGAAAAAAGGAAGAGAGTAGAAGTGAAGGGAGAAAATAGATATGCGAAGATGATTTTTATTGCAGGGAGAAAATTCAGTACCTTTTTATTCAGAAAATGAGAAAACATAATATAAAAAAAGAAAACCGCTAAATGAAAAAGAAATCAAATGTAAAATGTCCAATTAAGTGACTTTCAAAGCAGATACAAACACAGATGGACATGAAAAAAAACGTGCGTTCTTACGTCATCGATGAGGACGGCCAGCTCTTGGGAAACGGAGGTGACGGCCTGACTGATGACCCTTAGGTCTCCCGCGTTGGCCAGCAGACGGTCTCTCTGACAGGAAGGACCAACAGACAGGTTTACTGATGCGACTTACTAAAGGTCATCACGTGTCACAGCAGACAGCAACGAGACTGTATTTGCATGTGTTGATTTTGGGGTCACGAATGAATTTGCAAAAGGAAGCTGCTTCCTACCGTAAAGAACTTGGTGAAGTCGAGCTGAGAGAGAAAGAGGCGCTCGGCTTCCTGCAGCACATCAGCTGGAAGGCTACAAAGCTGAGTCTGAAGATCTTTCATGGCGGCTTCTCCTCCTTCCACCTTCAGAAACTGTCCCAACATGCTCGCGTTGCACACCAAGTCCTTCAGCTGCAGTTGAGCACCAGCCACAGAAACCTGGATGGATGACATTAAATTAAAGCAGTTAGGCTCATACAAATAATACATCAAACTTATTTTCCGATAATTATTATTAATGCTGATAGAAACTTTTCTGTATTGTATAGTTAATTTTATAACTTATTTACATACATTTGTTGAAAAGTTCAACAATCATTATTTCTATTTTAGTTAATGAATTTATGTTAAAACAAGGGAGGATCTCCGTCCGTGTCCATCAAGATAGAGCAACCTGTGAAAATGTTATTTTTTAAAGGATAAACATCATATATCCGCTATATATCTGTAATTCTACAAACAGTAAAAAACTGATAACATTAGTGAAGCGAATTTTTATCTGCAACTATGCAGAAATAGTGGGTTTTAAAACAAAGAAAACGCTTTATGTCAATGTTCAAAATGAAGCTCCGCAGAACAAGTTAAGCAATTTAATTCAATCTAAATGTTGACGTCCAAAGAGGATGCTATTTCTTTTCATGAATTGTTTCTTATCCAAGGATACCCAGTAGATTCCTCACCCGAAAATCCAGACGAGCCTTCAGCAACTGGTCCACAGTCACAGCCGGCAGGCCGCCGCTGGTCACCAGGAAGCTGGAGAACGTCTCGTTGGCTCTCAGGTATTCTTCTACTGGCAAATCTACGGCAGAAACACCGGCATTAGGCCGGTTACTTCATGCTTATGACTCATTTCACCAATAAGCATTATTCCATATTTTATATTTCTGTATTTGCCTGTGGTTTGGTCAGTTTACCAGGAAAATACCAAACCATCATTATTAAATTGTTCCATCGGGACTAATTTAAGTTAGATATTTTAGTCTTCTGGTTACCCTGAGAAATCTCAACGACAATTTTCAGGTCAAAACGTTCTTTATAGATAGAGGAGAGCAGTGTGGGATTTATTGCTGGAAAACCCACTTGCTTTCATTCATCCAATTGTTTGTCTGGGCGAGTCGTGTAATTTAATCCGCCCGCAGCGGAGAGAAGCCACTCGGCCACTCGGCGCTGCTTCACAACAGCAGTAAATGGACACAATGATCCGGTCACTCGACACCTGTTTAAAGCCATTCATACAGATCAGCTTCCAGTCCTGCTCAGAGAATTCTGGGGAAAGAGCTGCCTCGAGTTTTCTGTTGAGTGAATAAAGACGTTGGTCGAGTATTTCGAAAAGAAACATATGCAGAGAGAGCGGAAAGCTGCTCCAGTGTCACAACGTTAGCTGGGTGCTAAAGAACAGTCAAACTAGCTGCGGTGTACTTGGCCAGGCTCCAGGTCTCTCTCCCAGCCTTCGGACGCTCTCCATCAGGTCCTGAAAGCCGGAGAAGCTCCGGTTCCCACTGTAGGACAGCACCGTCTGGGCGTCCACGAAGAGACGGGACAGTCTACGGAGACAACATCTTTACCAGTAAACACCTTCAAATCTGCAAATAGTAACTGTGTTCAATGAAGTGTGCAGGGGATTAATTTAACTTCTGGGCAAATTAGAAAACCGTTTGGTTCTTAGAACATGACAAAAGCCCCAGATTGATCTTGATGGCAGGAATAGTAGCTCACTGCAGTGAGCTCAAAGGATGAGTTTGCTATGATGCTAGAAGTACACTTTGTGTGTGGGGATTAATCTGGTTACACAGGCACATTGTGTGGACTCGCCTTCCTTTGTGACGAAATACACCTAAATCTTTAGATTTTGGGCCAAAAGTGAGTAGCAGCTTTTAAAGCTGTTAAAAAAGCTTCATGAATGCAGCTGTTCAGCATTTACATTAATGAAAAAAAATAAAATTATGGATTAAACCAAAAGTTTGTGTTGGTAAACCAGCAACAATTCTCAGACTAAAGAGACTTAAGGGTTAGGTTAGACTCATTTACAAGTATTCTATACAGTTTTCTTGCTTTGATGAACTGAATTCAGTCAGTGACATTTGGGCGATTTAAAAAAACAACATCAACATACATTCTAACTGACTACAGTTTTTCATCTCTTGGGCTGTTTTATTCTACAACGATCCAGGTAAACTCCAGACAGCCGTCCATCTTTTAACTCCAGTTTACCTACATGGAGTTGTCAAAGTTGCCTACTTGGCCCAGCGTCTCCCCCGGTGTTGGACTGTGGAAGCATGGGTTGTTGATGTTGCAAATTATGCCCTGAATCCAGGGCAAGGTGCCGGCTGACGGCAAGGCTTTGTTTGGAAAGTGACCTACAAAAGAAGAGAAGCAAAAATAAATGCAAACAGCTCAGTACACGAAGATCAGCCTCGAAATACAAAACAATGAAACTACTGTGGCAGAGACCTGAAACATAATCTACAAGCAGCCGACCCAACAGTAATACCAGTACAACCCAGACTGCTGTTTTTAAACAAATATACAACAAAAATCATAAACCAGAATTTTACCAGAACCCGATAAAAGCTGCCTTCACAAGGAGCATTTTCCAATACTTTCCTCGGGTAAATGTCAAGGAAAGTACCCGTAACTAAAAATCGCAAATCTCACAACCAAAACTAAGTGCATTTTACAACTTTTTTCCTAATACCTACTGTACACTCATTTACTAGGGAAACATTAAAGTAGGAAGTTAAAACGTAAATGAGCCTGCATAGGAAATTAAAACCCGTCGAATTAGCACTGAATAATTGAATTTAGTGATCAGAAAGGCTTTGTTCTGTTGATTTTCTACAGAATAAAGACAGAATTAGGGGGTCGTAAAATAATGTAATGCATAAACTGACGTTTTCTGTCGTGCAGGTGTTGCGTTTAATTATGTTGCTGCGCTAATGCTAATTACAGACTTCTCAAAGAGGTCACGAACACAAGAGGTTAGGAAATCAAATGTGGCTACAAGAGACACTTAATCCTCCTGAGCGGGTTCGACGTAAAGCCTTTTCTGTACTGTAAGTGTGTGTGTTCCTGAAAAGACACACTTTGCACAAGACCACTCACATTGGCTCTGTTTGTACGGAGGGTGTGAATGACGAACAGAGATGAGGATGACGAAGAGGAAGAGCGGCCATAAGAGCTCGATGATCAGCTGGATCTGCATGAGAGGAAAACATAGGAGCTGTTATAAATAATCAACGACCTTCATAGACCTCATCTACCAAGCTAAAGCCATAATGTGGCCTGACAGGGGATACAGCAGCAGGGATGAAATACTTTTAGGTTGAATTAAAACGTGGCTACCTTGTTCCTCCTGCGGTATGTGACGTTCTTCCAGAGCAGGAGGGAAATCTGTCGAAAAAATCCCATCGCTCTGAGCGGCTACCTGGCCATGACGCAGAGCTGCAACACACAAATAGTGACGGGGAAAGGGAACATTCAGCAGGGCGTCCTCGGTGTTGTCGGAAGGGACACGTGAAATGTCCCAACTTCAACTAAAGATGGGACTTTTATGGAGTTGCATTGTCCTATCAGCAATTTTTATAAGTTAAAACTTCTAATTCAGGCACGCATGTTGAGAAGAATGTTAAAGCGTACGTGATGGATCCGTCAGGTTGTTATTTTGCCCGTTCTCTTTGAGTGAAGGTTATCTCGTGTGCCTGATGCGATGATGGACAATCCCCTGCTTTATCTGAAAAGCCCGCTGATCCTGACGGCTTACCTGGTTCCCTCACAGACTTTCACATGTACTTTTGCTCTGTGAGGCCTCCAGAGAACTGTGTTAGTCGATAATCTGAAGCCGTGGCTCATGATTTAGACCTGGTTAGAAAGCCATTGCCAGGCCCATTTATTTTGCTTATAAACACGTGAACTCCTTTCCTTCTGTTGGTAACTTTACATATTCAAATGTCAGTACAGCATTCAGTGTATTGACGGGTTTTTCCTCTCGGTTTTATGCAGTGTGATGGATGCTTACAGCTCTGAACATAGTATAATAGTGTTCTGTAGTGTATTTGACACGCAGATAACTTGATGCAAGCGGATGTAGTGGTAATGTAGCATCTTAAACCTCCATTACGGTGTTAAAAACCAACACCAGGCAATTAAATGTAGAATTAAAACATCATTAAAATGCAATTACAAGCTACTACACTTGACAGTTTAGCTCACGGTTGGACTCGTCCATGACTAGAGGTTAAATAATATCATAATTAGCTGACGTAACCACAGAGTAGGAGTTAAGCTAGAAAGCAATAGAGGAAAACATTTAGCTAACGTGTATGTTACATTCACCTATAGCTTCTTAGCATGTGACATAGTGATGGCTAAAAAACGACCTTTTCGAAAACGTCAGGCTGAAAACAACCTGCTCTGAAGCGGTTACATGTCATTACCTTTCTGTAGAACGGCTGGTAAAAATCTCCTCTCGGTATTGCGGAAAACACGGACGGCCGGTAGCTTGTCATTGACTCTTCATTTCCCCAATGTTTGCAGGCGTGAGCTGAAGAAGGTCCCGCCCGAACGCAACGCTGATTGGCCGATGTATGTTCCAGGGGCGGGGTCACAGAAGCCGGTAAAGAATATGATTGGATTGTATCTATGTTTTTGTAACTGAAGACACGTGATTGACCCGGCATTGACAGCGCTGTGTTATGTATCAGCCCACATTCAATGCATCTTGTAATAAGACTCACATCAATGAAATACATTTACATTTTATTAGCCCAAGCAGCATACAATTACATTGTGCAGTTATAAAATAGCAGTAGAAATATTAATAAATCGCATCGTATTTGCAAGAGTTACAAAGAACTGTGCTACTATCAGTTTTGACGTATATTTCTTTTACCAACATGTATGGCGGGGACAGCATATTCATAAAGCTGTCCAATGTAAACAGACTTGACATTTGTTTTAAAATGAAAAAAAGAAACTCTGCATCTGAAGCCTATTCAGTGACAAAGGACTGAATGAATAACATCAAGGAGATATCTTACAAGTAATGAACATCCAAAACTGTGAATTCTTAAAAATATACACACCTTTCTATGAAATATGGCAGCTACCTTTAATTGTGCATGATACCTGCTTCATTCCAGGCACATTCCGGGAAGCGTTGTATAAATGAAACAGAGCGCTCTAATGTGTGTGAAAGACACTTGTGGATATACACATGAGGAAGTGCATCACAAAGAAATAAAAACCTGTCCTTCCTGATTCAACAATGTTTCTCCTGCAAGCACAGGAAGTTTCTGCAGGCACACCGGGCCAGAAGACCAAAAGGTACAGCATCCTCAAGTCAAGTGAAAAAGTTTACTGCACACGAATGAATATACCTCAGCTACCGGGTGCATCGTTAAATGTCAGATAAATATAAACAAAAAAGCTACCATCTATCACTGTTGCTTTAAAAGTTGCTTCAAAATATAACAATCCACTTTCCACCTTAAAAACACTAGCCCAGTTTGTTGTGTTCAGTGGCGCGACAACAGCGTACGATATGCTGTGTGATAACTTGCATAATATTTTCTTAGTTTGGCAAAAGTCCATGTAGCTTGAACACTGCGCAGTATTTTGTCCTCGATGCAGCAGAGCTCATAGAAACACCGGCTGCTCCTGTCCTGTCAGGAGTCGATACGTCGAGGCTGGCATGGTCTTCAAGTGAATCTGCCCAGAGCGGGAGAAAAAAAAATTTTTTTTGATTAAATTTGATTAATAATCAAACTCTGGAGAGAGGAATACTACCTTTTACCGTATTCATGAGAAAAAGCGTTTCATCTCACCTCTCCAACAGCGTTGGTGAGGATCTGGATGATCTTGTCGTGTGGTGTGGCGACGACACTCTGACCGTTGATTTCAATGATGCGGTGCCCAACACGGATGCCTCCTCTCTCTGCTATACCGCCACGCATTAAACTGCAGATCTGCACAGGAAGAGAGAGGGGAATTTTTTCGTTTCATACAAACGAAAGACTTAATAGATCCCCACAGAGGATACTAATAGTGACTTACAATGCCGTCCTCCACGCTGAAGCCCAGCTGAAACTTGGGATCTGGCCGCCTGATGATTGCCATGGTGACCGGCGGGCAGTGGACGATGCTAAGCTTCACATACTTTTGGCTTTTTAAATCCTGCGATAAAGACAAAATGTTATTTAGATCATTTTTGTTAAAAAAAAAGAAGAAAAAAAAGGTGGTGTCACTGTTTTTCGTCACACAGTTTTTGTCATTAATGTTGTCTTGCATGCGACATCTTCTATATACGCTAATACAACACAGTGCAACAGAATGTTTAACTACAGCCTCACAAATCACCACAAAGTTGTATGACAGTTTCAAAGCATTACACATTATGAATGAGTTCAGTGCAGGGATCATTGATGCCATTATACAGGTGTTTATGACATTTTATACATAAATGTTTCACCTTGACAGGGGGATAATCTTAAAACTATTGAAATATTGACTATGAGTGCAAACATAACAGCTTTACACAACTGAATAAAAACTAAACCCCCCTAAGAACTAATACGGGTGTATGTGCACTCACACTGCATGGAAACACAGTGCCATCTGGTGCACCACTCAGAACAATACACCGTCCATAAGAAGGGAGCATCACTCAAATGTGCACAATTTATGCTATTCCAGCATAACAACAACCCAACTCTTATTATTGGCGTCTGTCAAGTCATTTTTGTTATTAAAGGTTTGCTACCGCTTTTCCGTTCTTACCCGGATGACGTTCTGGCACGTGGTGATGGGCAGACCCACCAGGCTGGTGCCATTTACAGACATGATGCGGTCCCCGATGCTGAGCTCGCCGCAGCGCTCCGCAGGGCCTCCGTGAAGGAGGTTTGCCACCACCACTGTGGGCAGGATGGAACCCCAGCCCGACTCCACCACCGCCAGACCCAGGATCTCGCCAGCAGCCTTGGTGATGACCACCTGAAGCACGGACACGCGGCAACAAAAAGGTGGACATTTGGTTAGCCAGTTATTCAGCCCCCCCACCAAAAAACATCTACAACTGAAAGTTGTCACGGTTACAATTAAGGTACATTGTAAAATAAACAAATAAATAAATGTATTCAAGCTGACTTGAACGGTCGCATGAAGGAGTAACTGCAGCGTTTTTTATTTAATGTATGTATTATTTCAAATATAGAGGTGACAGGAAATAAGGGAAGAGATAGATGTGATGACGGAAACAAAAGCCTGGAATCAAACCAGAGACGTTGGAAATTATATTATGTAGTTGGCATCTTAATCATGAAGCCAATGGGACACTTTTTAAAAATACCTTTCAAATCTATCGGGAGGAAAAGTTGGATTCTTCAAAAGATACACTTTGGTTGTATTACGCCTTAAAAATGAGAAACAACATTTGAGGCAGGAACAACACCGGATGCACCAGTCTGCATGCTGCATAAATGAGCTGAACCACGACTATTCTTACATGCGCAACAGCAAAGCCTTAATAATATCAAACTGCATTGCAACGGCGTCCATTAATCGCCGCCTGTCGCCGGGTCCTGAGACGTGTGGGCCAAAATCAATCTGCTTACGTCTCGGATGTTCTGAGAGTCGGAAAAGTGGGCGAGGTCTCCGTTGTAGAGCTCCTGGCTCTCCAGGTAGTCGCTGTACTCGCCGGGCCTCAGGTCGCTGGCCTTGATGCCGCTGGCCTGAAGAAACTGCTGGTACGCCACACCGAACGCCTGACCGATGGCCTGGGCGATGACCTGGGCCTGCATGGGGTATATACATATGAATAAATACAAGCCTGTTACCTAACTAGCAAAAACATTAAGCATTGCACCTAAAACACACGCCACACAAAGCATCAGGGCTCCAATAGTTCCCGGTTGGCCTCAAACCGATGACGTACGGTTTCGTTATTTACGGCTTACATTCACTCGCTCACATTGTAAATCTTACATGTAAATGTTGAATACAAGAGAGTTTGGAAAACTACCCTCTGTGTCCCACAGATAACTAGTTTCTAAGAAGAAACCCTTCCTCCCCCCATTGAGTCTTGCCAACGGTGGGAGCCAGATCGTTTTGACATTCAGGAGAACTCGCTGGCCGTCTGAAGGAAGGAAAGCAGGTCGAGCTGAAGCTGAAACTGGCGGCCAGCGAAAAACAGCACATTTGATCTGAGACCCGAGATCAAAGGAGGCAAAAGATATCAAAATAACGACTGGACCTGTTGGCACGACAGAGTTCTGCAGCTCAAGACTACAGAGGAATCAAAATGATGAAGCTGTGGAAACAATATAGACGTTCTCTTTTGAAATCTTGCAACAGCTGTTTGATTTATTTTCCTATCCAATGACCCACGTTGATGAAAGTAACTCACATCGTCCGAGAAGAAGACGTGGCAGATCATCAGACACTTCTTCTGGGGCCCGGAGGAGGATGAAGAGGAAGAGTTGGAGGCCGAGTCGCTATCCTGGCCTTTGCGTTTCCTCCGTGCCATCAGGACCACAATATTATCAATGTCTGCAATGTAAGAGATCATCTGCAGAGCGTGATCCATCATGGCTTCCTGTGGGCAAAGGAGACATCAGGTTGTTGATACAATAGTATGAAACCAGAGCAAAGACTTGTATTTTTAAATTAAAGTTAAACTAGACACTAGAAGCTGCTCTATGAGCTGCAAACCAAATAATGACTGTAAAACTATGACAAAGAATAATATAATATAAGAAATTCAAAACAATTTGGTACATTTTAATCAACTTATTCCAAGCGGCAAGAAAAGGCACCTGAGTGTCAGCCGTGAGAACTTTGATTCGCTGGGTTGAGATGAACAGATCCACCTCCGTCATCGGCTGGGACTCTCCCTCTGGAGCCTGAAACAAACAAAAACACAGCTGATGCCACAATAGAGGAATCTGGATCTTGCAAAAACAGGTATTTTCACATCCCTGTACAAGAACAAAACTACACAACAACCGCCGTGGTTGCACATCTGTTCAATGCGCCCCCCTACGGGACATCACCTTAATGCGGTCCACAGCTTCCTGAGCCTGTTTCATTCGGGCGTTTGTCGACGGGTTCTTGTCGGATTTGATCTGAGTGGAGCCCAAGTACTTGGCACCAAATATCACTCCATCCAACAGGTCTTCAGGGTCACACGGACCGGGCACTACAGAGCCAAACACAACAACATGGACAACAACTTTGTGAAATTTGCAACAGAAAAAAACCAACAACAGTATTTCTAAAGTTCAAATGTGCTGAAGCGACTCACCGTCTTTATATGAGGGGTGATCAGCAGTCTGCAATGACAGCAGGAGGAGCATTTAATGAACAGTGAGGACGGAAATGAATATGATGCAAAAATATATATATATATATATATATATATATATAAAAAAGTAATTTGCACGAGTGGCACGTGCAGCAGGTTCTTCTGTACGAACTGAGTTAATACATCAAACGTAACATTACTAAATTGGGAGTTTACAATCCGCTCCCTTTTCAGCAAATTAAATCAAAAGTACCTCGATGACCTGCTCGCCCTCTGCGGCGGCCTCCTCTTCCTCCGGTGGCTCCTCGCCCAGCTTCATCCACACCGGCTCGGGATACTCATCGTCAGGCAGCGAGGTGATGGAGTCGTCCCTGTGCCGCTGCCGCTGCCGCTGCTGCTGCTGCTGCTGCTGCTGCTGCTGCTGCTGCCCGTTCCCACAGCGGCCCCAGAACCTCTGAGCATCCTCCCGGCTGTAGGAAACTGACACCACGGCGTCCACGTCTCCTCCGTGGGACAGACAGGTGGGACTCTGCATTGCGCTGACGTCCGTGAAGTGCAGCAGCCCCGCCACGTCTCTCCGGTGGCTTTCGGAGAACAGCAGCCCGGTGGTTTCCGTGGGGTCTTGTGTTAAGGGGGGGGGAGCGCATGCCTCCAGCTCAGACGGGTGGGGTTGCCGGCGCTGGGCGGGGCGAGGCGGTGGCTCTTCCCCCATCAGTTGGAGCTGGCTAAGCAAGTTGTGGATGCGGCCGTGGTCCTCGTCGGCTGACCTCCTGTCAGCGACCTCCGCTTCCCGCTCACTGACCGCGCTCTCCGCATCGCTCACCTCGTTGCCAGCCGCCGACGCGGCGTCGGCACAAACCGCTGCCTCGACTAACCCCCAAGGGTCTTCCGGCTCCACCGAAATATCCTGGGCCGGCGCTGCCACATCGCGTGGAGCCGCAGCGCCGACAGCAAACAGAGGCGGCAACGCCGGCTCGGCCGGACTCGTCCCGTCCGGATCCTCAGCAGGGGGATGGATGCCGGGGTCATCCAGGTCCTCTGCTGAGCCCGTCTCGCTGGAGGAGTCGGACCTCCAGTCCAACGGGGGAGGCTCGATCAGATTGTAGGAGTCAACCTCCCCCGCCACGGAACCTCGCGGCGGCGCCGAGGCTTCGTCGACAGGAGCAGAGGCAGGACACGAGGATGGGGGGCGATCGGCGGGGCAGACGTCTGAGCTCATTTTGAACGGGAGCCTGTTGGGCGAGAGAGGTTCGATTCAAGGATCAGGATGTTGGTTCAATGGTTTTTCCAAATACATAATTTAACATTTCCACAAAATATTAAAATAATAATTGATCAATCAAAGAAAAGACTTGTGTTCTGTGCTAGAAGTGGACACCAGGAGTTGAAGCCGCCGCTATCTGAAGCACAACCTTAGGACAACGTGAACATCAAGATAAAGACGTTGAGGGTTCAAAGTGTGAGGACGACATGAACAATATGTGTAATATGGATGCACCGATCCAACGTTTTGATCTGAATAACTGTGTAAAACTACAAGATACGTTGATATGCGTGTACTGAATTGTTATCTAATAATAAAATAATGCTATGTGGTTCATTTGAGTGAGTTTGAGACTGAACTGTGAGACATCGGCATGGTGGACAATGTGGAAGCGTCCCGTGGAGCCGAGGATCACTTCCATCTGTGACGGTTTTGTTTACACGTGTAATTCAGTTGCCATTTCTGCATCTGACGCTCATTTGCATGAAGAACAACGCAGCGCTTGGATTGTGTCCCACCGCAACTCAGGCCGAGCAAACCAAACTTCATTTGAAAATCTCTATTTTTCATAACGCATTCTCTGTTGATTCATTTCAGGGAGCCAATTAACATTTTAGAAATCACGTTAGGGTTCCAGGTAAATTCGGCGTAGCGATGATTCGTGTTTAAACATGTAGTTAAATTTCACAAGGAGAAAAAAATACACTTACCCAAATCTCTCCAGCCAGGACAGAACATAACGGGGCAAGTTCAAGAGACAATAAAGTCAAACTTCTCTAACGCTACACAGACTCCTGAGTCAGATCTCCATTCACTTCTTGGGCAGGCCGTCAAAGTAGCTCAATGCTAACAAGTTAACATCAAGTAGGCTAATTACTGCCCGCAGCAGCCGACGAGGAGCTTACTGCCTAACTCAGATCTCAGTGTGTGTGTGTGTGTGTGTGTGTGTGTGTGTGTGTGTGTGTTGAAGGACGCTCGGCGTGCAGAGTAAGGAGCATCGCTCACCCCTCTTCGGTCCTGCTCGGGTCCTTTGTGGCCACACCGAGGTCCTCTGGGTGCCACGACAGATGAGTTCAGGTGGTTTGGGGTATCAGTATTTTCCAAAACTTTGGCTTTGTTTTATTCGTCATACTGAAAACCGCAGCAGCCTCGCGGAATCGCTTTTATCGAAGGTGAGAGTAGAACGAAGGTACAAAAACGGGTTTCCTGTCATAAATGTGGCTAATGTCGAGTAGACAGTTTATTTACTGACTCTGTAGCTGTGCTGCGTTCACTTGCTGCTGTACGTTTTCATTTTATCGGCAATAGATGTTTGTTCTTCGCCTTTCTCTACAGACATCTGAGTTAAAACCCGATATATTATTTGACGGACAATCGAAACGTTTAGCAATTTCAATTAGAGTTCAACTATTCGAGTTATAATTAGATTTAGCTGTCGTGGAGCACATGAAGTTGTTTATATGTGGCGCTATTTTTTTAAATCCCGATCCATCAGTAAGCACTTGAAGGCAACGTCACGTTGACACTTTCAGGCCTGCTCAATCGATTATCAAGCAACAATCAAACAGTCAATTCATTTTATTAGAAAAGTTGATTAGTTTCCATAATCAAAAAATACGTAACATATTATACAGTTTACATTTCAAGCAGCTTCTATTCAATCTTACAAGTAAAACGGACAGTTTCTATATAAAACTGTTTTCTGCTGAGCTCAATCCCTGAGTCTTAGTGAAACTGTTCAATCAGTTTATGTTGTGTAGCTTAGAGACATTACATCCTTTAAGCTATTTGACAGAAATCATTTTTTTAAATATTATTTCAATATACCCGCAACCCTGTGTGCAGGATAAGCGGTTTGACGATGGATGGATGGATTTCAATATAATATTAATAATAATAATATATTGAGATATTACATTTATTCTTGAGGGAGTCCAGCAATCAGAAAAAAGGTGTAAACCAGAATCAAAAATAAAGCTGATTCTGGTGATTTATTCACTTTTTACATTGATCAATCACTACATAAATAGAAAAGAGAGATTGAAAATGGCACAATAATACAACGTAGATTCACCCTGGGAGCTGCATCCATTTAGCCATTTTCTAAAACCTCTATACTGTACTTGAACAGTTTGCAACTTTTTAAATTGGCTTTCAGTCACATCTGAGGACTTTGATGATTGCCTACAAGTCTACTTTGATTATTCACTTATTATCCAGTTATAGGTCGAGGTGATTTCACATGTTCATATATCTCCATAGACAGTCTGACTGGAATTCGATCACATTACAAATCTGCTACTCATTCCCCACTCAGCATTTTCCACAAGTCTGCATCATTCAGACAAAACTTCCGGTCTGCTCCTATCGATAAGGTGAGGTAAAGACTATGGACTGTCTGTCCCGTCACTGTCTCCGGCGTTCATCTGCATCAAACCAATCAGTGATGAGATGGTGCCCATCAGTCCCACCAGCCAGTTGGGGAATCGTCCAGACCACAGAAAGCCGGGCGGCATCCAATGAATGGCGTTACTGAGGTCCGCCACGTTGCTGAGGACGGAGAGTACCTCCTTTCGCATCTGTCTTCGGATATGAGAGCGGCTGCAGAAGAAAAAGCACAGGTTCATCAGGAAATGTTCTTTTCCATTACCCTGACACTGTGAGACTCCCTCTCTGTCTAAAGCGTGAAACCTGAAGATCCTACACCTGTTGCCGCCTCCATCCTCAGCACTCTGCAGCTTCTTCTTCAGCAGCAGCAAAACTCGGAGCGATCTAAAGAGCAAAATGTTACTTGAAGGATAAGACGTTATTCTTTATCTTGGTTAAAGATTGAACGGAGATATTTCGCAAAACAGGTCACAAATATATGCTTTGATTTTCTGGGAATAATCTTGCTTTTGAGCCGACCTGAGTATTCCCAGCAGCAGCGAGGTTCCCCACAGCACCGTGCTCAACAGCCACCACTTATCAGACTTCACTTTAATGAGCTCAGCGTCCGCGGCCCACGCGATGTGTTCACAGGGGTAGTACAGCTGGTCGGCCACGTTGCTCAGCACCGATACAAAGCGCACTCCGGCGTCCTCCTCCTTTGAAAGACATGGCGCCAGATTTGCATTAACACAGCATTTCACCTGGTGAAACTGTGTACCTTTTTCTTTTTAAAAGTCAGAAATACTTTTACAGAGGATGATTTGCTTAAAAACTGGATGTTTACATGTTGACTTCATAGATAGATGTGTGTTTAAATAGGCTACAACAGCAGGATGCTTGAGAACAGCGAATCCTTTCATTATCATGAAATAAACCATCTACACAGGCGAATCCATTGCTCCCTTCCTGACTGAATTAATTACAAAAAACAGAGGAGTGTTGTTTTGTGGCGCTGACCCCTCCTCCGAGCCCATAGCTGTGTGAGTAAGCGAGCATGGACAGATCATCAAACAGCCTCAGCACCGTCCTGCAGTGGCTGAGCTGAGCGGAAAACAGCAGCAGACGCTTCCCGAGCCGACGGGAAGAGACGTCGGTTTCTGCTTTACGCGAGAGGAGGCCTCCGACCAGCTGCGAGCCGTAACACGCCGTCCGGATCTGATGAGACAAACGGAGGAGATGAAACACGGGGTGGGAGTCAATGGCTGAAAGAAACCGTTACTTTCAGGGATGAAGTTAAAAATCCAAATAAATGTGGTTGTTCTGATGAATGCATTAGTGTAGATAGATCATCTTTTATAGAGCAGTAATAAATTACTAAAAAATAACCATGAGATGACTTTAAATAAATCTCCCTATGGGAAATAGCTGCCAAAGTATTTAGACACATTTCATTAATTAACAACTTACATTTGCAGAACTGATGTTCTAGCTCATTATGGCTCAATCTGCTGTTCATATCCTATGATTGACTGGCGACTAGTCCAGGGTATAAAATCTAAGATGGTACAATAATAAAATAGCAACCAGTGGATCATTTAGATATGAAACTACTTACAACTTTGTCTCTTCCTCGGTAAGACTCCAGCAGCTGGACCAGAGGCTCCACCGACATGTCTGTCTGCTGCTGCCACACTCACGAGCCAGTAAAAGCGATCACACGAAGCTCCCGCACCACAACATCTCCTCCATTAGTCGCTATCGGCTCCGTTAGCAGCTGGACTTTGAAACCGGAAGTGACTCCAAACAGGCAGAAGTAGCCGATCAGCGAACGAATCGAACTTCTTCTTTTTCGTTCTTCATTTTTTCTTCCTGCGATGTCGCGCTGCTGCTCTCTTCAGTTTGTGCGCCTGAATTTCTGGTTCAAAAGCTACACAGACGATTGGTAAATGCAGAACAGTTTGGGGGAAATGATGCACATGATATTTTAGATTTACGATTTTAATCAACTGGTGAAAATTAGTTTCTCCAGGTGTGAGAAACATCTGTTTACACCTGGGTGTGTTTCCCCTTGGCGTTAGAAGTTGACGTGCAGCGGTGAACGAAAAATTCGACAACAGTAAACATTGCAAGTAAAAGCCTTTATTTAGCAATAAAATATACTTACCTAAGTAAAAGTACTTAGAAGAACAGTACTTGAGTAAAAATAAGTAACGTTATATTAGTTACATTCCACTTTTGGAAGCCCTCATTAGGAGTACCATTTAGATAGATAGATAGATACTTCAATATCAATCACCAAGGGAAAATGTGTGAAATATAAGATTTAAGATGTAACACTTAAATATATAACACTTAAATATAACTCCGAATGTGTTCTCTCAGCTCAAAAAGTTAACATTTTGATTTATTTCGATGTCAATACCTGATTCAACAGTTCAGTTCTCCTTCATACTAAAAAGAAAATCGTATTACCATTTAAATGATTAGTCTTGATGAAATTATTTCCAGGTGTATTTGAAATATTCAGAACTGCTTTGTTTCCATTCGGCTCCACCATCATATAGCTTTTACATTACACTCTCTAAGAATTGTTTTCCTCCCAAAAACACAGAAAAGAAAAAAGTAAAAAAGGGACACAATTACTCATCAAATTTATTTTAAATTATTTTAAATGTAAAGCAATACACAAAGCTACAGTTATAGTGTATTCATTTTCTATACAAGCAGTTTGACAAACAATGTAATGTTGACAAGTTTGTTATTCTCAGCAAAGGTTGTATTTATGTGACACTCCACTGTATTTTTGGTTTTCTTTTCTGATAATATGCTAGTGGTGGAGTCAAACAAACACGTGCACCCAGATGGGTGATAGTTTATAGCTTTATATGGCTTTCAGTTTGAGTTGTGTGTTTGTGTCTCTCTCTGTCTTACTGTGTGTGATTAGTTAGTTTGTATATCAGTAATCATCATATCAGGAGTCATTGTCGTAAACGTCTGAAAGAAAAAAAGAAAAAATACACTGGTTTTCAAAATGGAACATGCCAGATCACATTGGAAAATTACACTGTTGGTGTAGAATTGATTACAGCACAGGAAGATCCAATACTAAACTGATATAATAACTCACCGTTTGGATAGTCAACATCATCATAAATGTCTCCTTCCCTGCAAAGAAAGATGCATGTTAAACTGTCTGCAGAAAAATAATTTCTATTCACGTTTTTAGCCCTAAAAAGATTCACTTACATTGTAAGAAGAAGCGATCTGGACACAAAGCCATCTGTGAGAGGTGTGAACAACAGATTTGGGGTCAAACACTTGCACTAAATTCAAATACAGCTCGTACTGAACTGGTGATCTCAAGACGTTCAGCCTCCACCATCCCAAGTGTACACATTTCCACCAACTGGACCGGCACCAAACTCTGTTCAGAAATGAATTGTCCCCCGACAGCGCGCTCTGTTGACATAATATCTCGATACAACGGCGTTTCCTCTTGTGCCACTTTGAGGTTGACTGAACATGGCAAGCGTTGTACTGTGTCTAAAAGCGTTTTTAGCTTTTCGCTCTAGTGTTTTATAAAGGCCTTACAGGCCTGAAAAGCACGGCCGGAGTTCTTTTAATCTCATATCCACGACAACAATGATAAACCCTTTTAAAATAGCATGACAGGTTGGATTACTTCAACTCTGTTTAACAAACAACACCATACATAGATTACAATGAATCCAGAGGAAAGCAACACAAATTCTAACCAGGACAAAAGTATCTTATCAAATCTATCTACATAATCCTGCGTCTGGTTTTCAAACTGCTGATTTGGCTCCACAGTAAAATTCAGAAGTGCTGACAGTTTACAGCCCGAGCAAATCTTTTCCCCTCCATGTGACTGCAACACTTCCTAAATCTGGTGAGATCAACAGATTTATGCAACTAAATAATGCTGACGTTTGCCTGTGCTCTGTGTTCTTACACTTGTTTTAAGACTTAAAACCTGCCTACTCCTTTCCTTTGTATGCTTCTTTGTATTAAAGTATGTATGTTTGGAAGTATGTTTTTGCTTTTGTGTACAACACTCTGAACTGCTTTTGTATGATATGCAGCGATTGGCAAACTGCTTGTGTAACAGTTCTTGCTTAAAATGTGAAGAAACAACCTACATTTTCCAAACTGGTTACAACACAGAGCTTTCTTGCTGTTGGTTAGCTGGATGATGTCCACAATTTCTCCTTGAGTCACGTGCAGATCTTTCCCTCCCGGCTTCTTTATGATGCCGTTAGGATCCACCATCATGGTGTGCAGCACCCTGAGTGGCCCTTCATACTGTAAAACATCAGTTCCAGAGGTGCATTTTTTTGTCTTACTGGGAAATATGTAACATATTAACAATATTCATCACTGTGCTTCTTATCATCATTCGTTGTATGTAGAGTTTCTCAAGAAACCCCTGTGGGCCCCGTCCTTTTTTTCTTTTTATACTTATTATCTTATGGACAAATGAATTTAAAAAAATAACATAATTTATAATCATTTTATCAATCTGACAATCATTTTATACATTTTATTGCTATTGCACTTTGTTTTATCTAAAACCAAATATTGGGTGGAACAGTGTCACTGTTTTACCTTAAATCTTTTTCTTAACTCCTTCTCCACTTTGGGTTCAATGCTGAAAAAGATGATTGAGATTTTACGGTTAATCAAGAATCATTTATATCGTTCATCACACTTCCTCCTGATCTGCTTTCCGCAGATTATGAGATTTATTTAGAGGTACATATACTTGGTTTCTTTACATATTGATCATCTTGTGTAGTCTCATCCTTTTTCAGGTCCACATAAATAAAGCTTTACATCACAATATCATGCACAATATCACAGGCTTATTTCCTTTCTCTGCTTTCGTTGGACCGGATGTGAACAGATACCTGATTTCAGGCGGCGGTGGGGGAAAATCCTCAGTCATTGGTTCCACGTCATCATAGTAATCTGAGGACAAGTATGTTAAAAGTGAAAACTAAAACTAAAAAAATAAAATAATTTTGAATTAAAATAAAACAATTAATAAAAATAACTAAACATAAAACTAAATAAAACGTTTTTGTGAATTTACATGGCATTAATGCCAATAATGTTTGCGTGTGGTGTGTTGTCACTTACCTTCATCTGAAAGCGTGCTGCAGATTACAGGAAACATATTGCATGTTAGTTGGAACAGACGTGGGTGAAACTGAGTTGCCACCAAACACTGCTAGCGTTGAAAACCATTTGGCTATATAAAATCAAATCATTTGTCTTTAAATACAACAAGAAAAAGGTAAAACAGGAGTAAAATGATCCACGGTACCTGCCGCTGCCGCTGTACTTCACATTCACCATCATTGGGGGGTCTGGAGGTGGTGGAGGCAACTGTGAAGTGTTTGTTTTCCTGGAGTTGAGCAATTTGCGCTTCACTGCTTCATAGTCAACATCCACACTGGTGTTGCTGATGTATCCATCTTCAAGGTAACACAACATCACAAGTATGTCATTTGGCTTCATTAATATCATTCCGTGTTTGAGTCAACAAAGAACCTTCTATCATTGGCGCTCTTTTTTTTGAAAATGTTGGATCACAATTTGCTGGAATCAATGTTGGCAAAATGGTTCAGGTAAAAAGGGAAAAATGTCTAAATACTTTTCACAGTCTCACTTTCTGAGGAGACGATATTTTACTGTGCTTTGGTTTATGACATCCTCTATTGTCTATCGCCCAATATTTTCTGATAATCACACATCGGCCTTCTATCATTGCTTGCTAGAAAGTTTTATCAAATATTAAAGCAAGCATGCATTATGAAAGATACTAAGGTTGTTAGAGACAAGGCCACTTGGATTTTCACAGGTGGTCACAGATCTTCTGCATAATATATGCTGGATTTCTGAGACATGGCAGGACATCAGAGGCAAAAAGACCCAGAGAAAATGTCTTCAAACCGAAGATCAAACTCAAATTACTCTATTTAAATGCTACAGCGCGTACACACCATCCTTCCTAAAGCAAAGTCATTGCCGAAGGTACCAAAGGGCCATGGCATATTCCAAACAAAGGAAAATAATATATTGACATATGCCAAATTATTACACCATGGCCAAATGTATGAACATTTACTTCAGCTTCGTCTTTTTGATTTCAAACCGTAACAGTATTCAAACTGAAAAATGTGTATCAAAACAAGCGGAAGAAACCGAATTGAGATATCAATCATTTTAAACCACAGCAATACATTTTGGAGACTAGACGTCACATCTGTAGGATGTTTGCTACTTCTGAGTGGGGAGGCCTCCCTTTATCGCATTTAAGGATTTACACATACGTTAATAGAATTGTTGAGTGAAACTCACAGTGTCCATCCAAAGAGCGAGCCAACCATTTCCCCTCTGGGTTATTCTTAACTCGAAGGATCTCCACGCTCTCTCCTTGTCGTATGCTGAGGTCCAGTTTTCCTCCTCCATGCCAGTCGTGGCGGACTCTGGCTGTGTGGAGAACCTCCAGCTCCCCTTGCAACTACGGGTGGATACAACAAAAAGCTTCAGGAGGTTGAAGGTCAACAGAAACAAATGAGACGTATGTGTGTATGGAGTGTATACTTGAATAACCTGCTTATAATAATGCTTGATATATCAATCCTAGATTTAATCGTATCCAGTAATATTAACTAACATAATACACATAAATTAGAAAAAAAGCAAGACAAATATGGAAAATACCTTAAACTTCTTCTTCAATTCATTTTCTTCTTTCCGACGTTGCATCTGATTTATTTTATCCTGCGCTTGTTGACTCTTCTTCGTTGTTGTTGACGCTTCTTTTTTATTTAGCTTCTCAGCGTTCGAACGATTTTTATCCACCTGATCCCTATAAGAGAACATTTTGAAGAGGACGTTACTTTTACATTTTCTGACAGTCCTTCAAACCATAGCATTCTTTTAATACATTCAGCCTCTACCAGAACGGGCAGCAATGCTGGTGGATAGAAGATAGAAGCTAATGTCGGACTGACTTCTTCATCCTGCCCTCCGAAAATGCCTTCGCATTTAGATTTCCTCTCATAGCGGGGCCCTTTATTTTGACTATCTGGAACAAGCTGATATTGTATTTTACCACTTTTGAAGCTCCTGGAACGTTCAAATCAAATAAACAAAACAACAAAAAACCAAAACGTGATTCAGCTCTGAGCACTGACAAGAAAACAATTTAACAACTGCAGCATCCCACAAAGAACTTTCTTTTAAGAGGATATCTGTTGAATCACAGCAACAACTTACAACCATAAAAGATCATATGGCACACTAGTGACGCAAATAACGTTGCCTCCGAAACACTCACTATGCTACATACAAATTTAGTTTTCCTTCGGGCTTTGATTCTAAAAAAGAAATTTATGTTAAGATCATTAGAAGTTTTCTCACAAAACCTAAAAACTAATTGCAAAAACCTCTTCGATGGTGGTGCTTGCTAAAGTGGTTGTAGCAATAATAGCTTTCATGGTAGATGCAAAAATACCTGAAGCTGTGACAAGAAACCCGGGGCTGTTTAATGTCAGCACTTGTAGCCACCGTGTATTTTTAGGTGGGGCAGCGCTTAACAAATACAGAGACAATTGTAGGCAACAAAGGCAGAAAGTATATACTCACTCATCAATAAACTCATACAGATCATCATCCTCCTGCAACAGAAACAAGAACATCGTGGAGCTTAATTGACCTTTGTTTCACCACTATAAAGGGATACAAACAAGTGTGAACTGGATTTTAAACTTTATTAGAATTTTAGTCTCGTCTTTTAGGGAAAGTGTAATTTAAAATTTTTGTTTTTTGTGCTTACCCCCTCCATGCAGTGTGAACTGTTGTCACTGCAGGACTCTGTGAAGTCACACAATATTAAGAGATGAAAGGCATATCTTCTTTTGGAATCAAAGGCTCATTATTTCAGTGTCAATATTTAAGTAAAAACTCTTAGAGGTACAAAGGCCTCATCGAGGAGAGGAGCCATGCACCAATGAAAAAGCCGCAATTATTACCGTTCTTCTCAAAGCTTGCAATGTCGTCATAGAACTCGTGGTCATTGTCAATGCTCCTGCAATCAACAAACCTGGTAATTATTAATCAATTGGATATGCAGCATGTATTTTTGACTACTAAACACTTTACACAATACTTTGGCTGCCTTTAAATCATCAGAGCTGTGTTGGAAATGACATTTAATCCCATTTTTTAAAGTACTTCCCAGCAGCATCGTTTGAACTAGTTAAACACTCACATATGTTGCGGCAGCACTACGGGCTTGTTGCATCGCTGTGGTGGTTTTGGAGGACTGACGACTGCAGGTAGGGACATCTTTCTGCCTGCTGAAACCGGGGGACCTGCTTGGAGAAACCAGCAGAATGTGTAAAGAAGTGGACGGATAAATGAGACGGACAACCAACACTCAACAGTCACGTGTACATTTTTGCAGAAATCATGTAATGCTCTTAAATTTCCCTCAAAAATCTATATTTTCATATACAAACACACGAATAAGAATCGGAAAACCACAACGGTAAATTTTTTGTGTCGCTGTTGATAAATTCCGAGGAGAACTACAGAATCGTATTTATAATAAGATCGTATAAGATAATAAGAATTACCACAGAATATATTGCGTTTTGTTAATCATGCCTTTATATATTTATGTTCTAAAATGTGGAAAGGATATAAGCATTCACCCAGCAGGGCTCACCAAAGATGTTTCACTATGAATTGAGTGCATTATTACAAATCTGTGAGCGAGTAAGCCAGAGAGACTCACCATCGTTCTTTCTTGGAGCGGGATGAGCAGGTCCTCGGATGAATCTTTGATAGGGCTCCAGGTTGACGAAGGGAGGCCGTTTGGGCTTCAAGGGCAAAGGTCTCTCAGGGGGTAAGGGCTTCCTCAGCGGGGTCACTTCCCCTGCACTCCTCTGTCGCGGCTGCTGGCGGAGCGGCAGAGGCGCGGAGCTGGGAACCGCCGCAGGAGACAGACCTGGAGCTGTGGCTGCTGGTTTGGCGCCTGGAGGCCTATGGTGCAGCTGCATCAAGCTCTGCAGCATCTCCCCCTTCAGTTTGACCTTGCCGGGCTCTGCCGCCTTCAGGGACGCTCGGGTTCCAGGTTTAGCAGGCGGTCGAGGGAAGGCCGGAGGTCTCGGGTGGTCGGAGGCTTCCATCGGGAGCCGCGCCAGGCCCGGACTGGGGCTCGGTGGAAGAGGACCCTTAGGAGCGAGTCTGTGATGAGAGAGGTTGCTCTCTGTAAGGGGCAGTATCACTTTGCCAAAGCCGGGTTGTGGAGATTTGGGGGAATCGCCGGCTCGGCTGCTGGCGTCCGAGGTGCAGACCTTGCTGTTGAACTTCGCCCTCAGAGCCTTCACATCGACGCTCTCCTCCTGACGAAAACATAGGAGCACAGACGTTACTGCAGCTGCTCTATTTCTACAGCAGGAAGTCAGCAGAACAGCACGCAGCAAGGCATGCCGCACCAACGCTCACGCACACACACACACACACCACCCATCAAACGCTCTCTTACAAGGCGAGAACCCGTAGCGCAATGATACAGCTTCCTGGTTGTTTTGATCTTCACAAAGCTGAGAAGTCTGCAACTCTTTGCAGCAGACAAAACTTTAATCAGTGCAGGAAGATATTGATGGTTCCAAGAGAAAACAATAGATGATGTTAGAGATTAACAATAACTAATGACACATATAAATGATTTGAGCACGGATCTCTCAACCAAATTTTAAAGACCTCACTGTAGTTCTTCAGTTTAGTTTGCAACATGTTATCAAGGTTTGCTGTGGTTCAAATGACTGCACCTGACTGACTACATGGTGTGAAACACAGTTATTTTACTAATATACGCATATCATACCTGTGCATCCCTAAAGGAAGCTGTAAAAGCCATACCTTTAAAAGATAGTCAAGCTGATAGGGCTTTTTCTTTGAATATAGAGGTTCTCTTTGTTTCATTTTCTGTATTTTGGTCAATTAGAATCACATGCAAAAATGACAGCTAATAAAAACAGTCACACGACATGGATGTCTGCATCTTTATAAGGGGGAGTTTGGCATCGTTACACGTTGGATATATAGTTATTACTGAAATTATTTTTTCATTTATTTTTGTTTTACCACTCACCAAAACAATATTTTTTAAGACACTGCAGAAGTAAACTTTACTAAAATACCTGCAAACTATCTTAGCAACTTTGTATGTATCATGGAACCTCTGGGGCCCTTCTGATAAGAAAACAATTTGACTCGGATGTTAATTCCTTGATGGTTCCTCGAACTGAACATCTCAGCACTGCTGCTAAATGGACATTCTAGTCACATACATTTACATACTCGCCACAATCTACAAAGAGCTCTCTAGTGTCGACATTTACTGAACCGGTACCCGATGGAGGGTTTTTATTCACTTTTGAAAATATGTTTAGCGTAGACAGAAATTCAAAACAGACTGACCCAAGTCTAAGAATGGAAGTTCTCCTCTTTAGGTGTCTCTTTAGATTAGATTCAATTAGATTCAACTTTATTGTCATTGCACTGAGTACAAGTACTGAGGCAACGAAATGCAGTTTAACATCCAACCAGAAGTGCAAAATATCAAAAAGTGCAGAGTATGTGCATGTGTAAAGTGTAATAAGTGTAATAAATGAATAAATAGATATGTACAGTAAGAAATAGTTAAGCAATATGAACAGTAAGAAATGGACATGTAAAAACAATAAAAGTTCAAATGTTCAGTCTCTGTTCAGTTTATTTGTGATTTGAATGTTGTCACCGACTCAAATGAAACCACATTGAAGATATGAATTTGAATAAAGTGCTCGCAGCAGTTCAAAGAAGAACATCAGTGGTCAGCAGGAAGTAATGATATCATTGGTTGAGCTGGACTCCTTTAGGCAACCATAGCAGTCAGACATTCTTTCAAAAGAGCAACGGTTGTCCGACATATATGATCAACAAAGAGGAGGTAATTGTGAAAATGAAAAGATATTTTGTTACACATGAACACGTCTCATTCTCCGTTATGTTGAGAAGAAATAAAAAACAAGCTGAGAGTGAAGGAATGACTCCGTCTGTCGCCTTTAACACAGTCAAAGAGTGCAAAGAGGAGCAGGAAGCTTTCACAACCACACACCTATAAACTCTGCATCCTGCCGAGGTTACCATAGCAACGCCCCCCGAGCTGTTACGCCTGCACAAATGAGCTGCAAATGAGCGCTGCCTGCAGTCGTCTCTCTTGCTACAAGTAACATTTCACCACACCGCAAAAACAAATATACACAACACCCAGACCGGTTCACTTTCAGTGAACGAGTGTCTTCAGAAGGGTATTGTGTGTGTGTGTGTGTGTGTGTGTGTGTGTGTGTGTGTGTGTGTGTGTGTGTTTGTGTGTGTGTATGTGTGTGTGTGTGTGCATGGGTGCAGGGTTGCGACTGACACATATTACCGGAGATGTTTCTGAAATGGTGTCGCCACAGATTGTGGCTGTGCAGGTGTGCTGCAGAGAAAACGTTTATTATCAACTATGGAACACATTTTAGAAGAAGCCTGGTCACATGAGATATGACTTATGAACTCATATTGTAGTTTTGTATATTTACTGAAATATTGATGAACTGATATAATCGTGAAGCATTCGGAATCACACTCACTCTGTATGAATTGGGGGTAAACACAGTTTACGTTACTTTTTCTCACATACACTCCAGACAGTCTCTGATACAGAAAGTACTCATTTATTTTATTGTTGCCAGGGTTAGGAACTAGTAACTATTGTGATTTTAGTGGTGTTCTGATGATCATTTGGAGCACAAATGTTTCCAAAAGTCTTAAAATACAATTAATGGGTGTAGTGTAAGAATAAGATAGGAATGTGAAGCCGCACTGAGCACACTGTGAATCATTAACACCTGATAGCTGTGTGTTATAAAGCTTTCTTTCATCAGCAGCAGCATGAACAAAATTCCAACTTCCCCTCCCGGCATTACAATGATGTAACCACTGTTGACAGCCACCGCAGCCAGTCGGTCAGATCATGAATCAGCAAGATTTTAAACTTGGATAAAAGGTATTTCAATGAGGATTTAGTTATATGACGCTACGATCTGCTTATCTATGAGGTATTCATAGACAGCCTGATGTTTAGGAGAAAATAACCAGAAACAGAGTGAAAGGTGCTGTGGAGCAGTCATGCGTAACTCAATTGAATAATATGTAATGAAAACAACAGCACAACATCCCTAATAACAGCATAAACAACAATCTCTTACCATATTTTGTCTTTAGTGATGGTTTAATGATGAATAAAGTGCTTCATGTCCAGCATTGATTGAGTATTCAGGCTGACGCTCCCGTACAGACTTGTGTCACTAAACTATACTGCAAATGAGGAAATGCTCTGCAATTCAGTGTTGTCAGGGTGAGTGACAGCGCCACAACATTTACAACAGAACATTTACATGCCAGAAGCCACTGCGTTTTAGTTCTCCTTAAAAGATCAGGTTTTACAGTAATTTGTGAAGGCACCGCAAAGCAAGGTTGTCTGTTTTTTTTTTACGTCTTTCTAACTAATTTAAAGTAGCGGATAAGCTCATAAAACAGAACATAATGAGCGGGTGAAATGAAACATGATAAGTATCAATTACTTTGCATTTCAAATAGTCACATAACAACTCATTTTGTGACATTATCATCGTTCTCTGACATGACACGCTTGATTGTTTTAATTGTACAATTTTCCTGCATTTCACGTGCAACCACGATAAGTAATGAATGTCCACAAATTTATTAGAACCTTTTGTGGTTCTCAATGTACAGTCATTTTCATTTCAGAAGAGAGGATTGTGATCCCCGGTGGGGGATACCGACAGCGGTGGTCCGGTTGCTCCATCGGGGCAATAGAGCAAGTCTAAAGGGCCGGGATACCCGTTGGCAGCTGTGGGTGAAGCAGATGTGCCTCCTCCCATCATCATCTGGCCGCCTGCAGGGGGGACTGTCACGCCTGCTGGTGCCCACGCTGCCACGCCGCTGTGAGTTGTGGACCAGGGCGCTGGAGCTGGAGCTGCCCACTGATCCCCCAGAAACCCCTGCTGGCCCCAGGGCAGGGTGGGGGGAGAGTACGGGGGGGAGGAGTACGGAGAGCCGCCTGCCGGCTGCGCAGGGAACATGGAGAGGATCTGAGAGGACGAGAGCGTCGGCTGTGGAGACTCTGAGAGACCGGGAGAAGATAAATGAAGAATCTAAACGTTGTCTTGGCCTTTTGAAACCATTGATGTTGAATTAGATGCCCCCTGTGAATTTGTCATTTTCACGTTTTAAGTAGGGTACATATATAAAACACAGTGTTTTGGTGCGTTAAAGACGCTTTGAGACAGATTCTTTAACCCAGAGTCGGGCTCGCTCAATCTCCAGCTTCAAAATTAATGAGAAAATATGGGATGGATCTTTTTTGATCTACCTCAACTCGACAAAACCATTTTTTTACGTTAATCAACGGAAAAGCTCGACATTTGTTCCAGTGATTACATTTTATTTCTGTATTAAATCTTACGATATATTATATAATAATATTGGGGGGTTTCGGACTGTTGGTGGGACACTTTTTTCTTCATCTTTTAGTATTTCATGATATTTACTCTTTTAAGCAAAATGTCTCAAGGGATTTGGCCGTTTTTAGCTGTGATTTAGCAGTTGCTGATTGCAACCAACTGAAATAATAACGTGTAAAGCGCGTAGGACAGGTTTGGGTTTGGATTGTCTGCTCTGGGCTACCGTAGAAACATGATGGCCACGAGGACACATAATGCACATTAATTCTTATTTTGAGGTAATTACAAGAACACACACACATTACATTTAGATTTCCAATATAAAGGTCTCTTAAACACAAGGAAATGTACAGATAATTTAAACATAATAGAAAAAAAGTGGCCTCAGATTATGGTCTATGATTTTTTTAATGGCGACGTTACTATTAGTGTGGTTCATTTAGGTGAGAAAATATGCTTTGATTATGCATGCTTTTTTTCTTTCATGAAGCAGTTTATTTCATGCCGGTCTGCTCTTGAGAAGGGTTGAATAAATGAACTGACTCACTAATGTTGTTAAAGTTATCAAAGTTTCACTGTCATGAGTAATGAAAATGACCACCACAAAGACACAGGATGTGAACCTTTGCCTCGGATGTTGCAGGCTTACATTGCAGTGCCCCACAACAAACACACATGAAACATTAGACGCTAGACAAGAAGAAGACAAGAATGTCTGCGCTGACATATTTCTATTCCATCACCGATACACAGAAAACACTGCACATTCCTCTGATTTACTGTATATAGTAGTAAAATGCGTCTCTTTATCATTAGATTCAACCAAAATCAATACCGCAATGTGATGTCAGTGTGTGGGTGTGGGTGTATTGCCACACTGTCGCAGTGTCCACACACTGAGTCACCATTGAGATCCGGCGGAGGGAAGTGGTCAGTGTTTTTGTCCTGTACCTTTTATAGCGGCGCAGCCCACAGTTTATGACTTTAATCCATTTGCATCATGGTACATCAAACCCACGGACTCTGAGCTCCCGATGATGCCACGGCAAAAATGACTGTACCACAACATGTGTTGTGCCTTTGTGTGTCCACTCCAGCTAACGCACACACACACACAATCAAGACTAAGGACTAGTGTGCTGCAATAATCAATCGACAGAAACGTTATCTGCAACTATATTGAAAAACAATTCATTGTGTAAGCAATTTTTCAATCCAAAAATGGCAGAATATACCTTTTCAGTTTTTGAAATATGTATATTTCCTTCTTTTCTCTGTATAATATCATATTTAACAGCATATCTGGGTTTTAAACTGACAGAACAAGACATTTTAGCATTACTTTGGACTTGAGAACTGGGATGGACATTTGCTAGACAAAATGATCAATTGATCTAGAATATAAACATTGAATTAATCAATGATATCGGGAGTTAGTTGCAGCCCTTATTTAAACAAAACCGCAACAAGTCTTGGACCAGTCAAACATTTTTGGAAGAGAGCTTGAAGGAGACTAAATGACAGTTAAATGGATTGTGCTGCCCCCAACTGGCTCTGCACATAAAATGTTTTTACGTATGAACCGATTGCACGTTACCTAGAATTCCTGACCTGGACTCTCGTTCAAACTTACCTGGCTGACTGGTGCAGGAGCTCTGGTTGGGGATCAGAGGCTCCTCCATCTGCAGGGAGAAGACTTCCATCAGCTCATTATTAAAAGAGACCTGTAGACACAGAAACACCACAGTCTGTATTTGATATGGTTAAATATGCTCTTTTAGTTAAGTACAGTGTTAAGAGTAACATGATAGCTGACTATACATAAACATGAAAATAAACATAAACATACAAATACACTTAAGGTTGGACTAAATTAGAGATGTTGTGTCCATTACTTCACATTCATCATCTTTAGTGACATAAATCTAGTAAGTCAGTATTTAGAATTGAAAACATCTAAATTCTGACGCGTCAATTGTTTAGTATTTCTTTCCTGTTCATGTCTCCTGTCCATGTTTTTTTGTTGAGAAACCAACGTGGTTCTGGTGCATCACAGCGGAACCACAGTGTCATATTGTGTTTGGCTGATGGTACCTGGGTTGAAGAATCCGGCTGTGGAGTGAAGACTCCGTCAGGAGCTGGTCCCTGAAAAAAAAGCCACACTGAAAAGCTTCATTGCAACGTGTGAGATAGATGAGAAAAACGAAGAGAGATTTTCAATGATACACCTGAACAAGAGATTTGGGGATCTCATTTACCTCAGCCGGAGGGACTGAAGTGTCTCTCTGTAGCAGCAAGGAATTGATCTGGAGAAAAGAGACAAACGAGATGTAACGCAGCGTTGGCAAGCACAAATAAAAAAAAAAACTCCTCCCATTGTAGTGATCTTTCTCTGACTTGTGTCGTGGCCTCCTTGGCTTCTTCTGGCGTCTCCTGGTCCACAGTCTGACAAACCTCCTCAATGTCCAACAGGACCGGTTCCGCCTGATGGACACAGAAGAAACGTCACACTGCACCTGAAACACGTTCACCGCAGATTCGGCACAGAAATGGCAGGCGGTGCTGCGCGTGGGCACCCGGTTGGCTGTCCTGATGTAGAACAGGCTGCAGGTGTCCAGGTGCTGGTAGACGTAGGCCAGAGCTCTGGGGTCCGACTCGTCGGTCTTCAAAGAGCTGATCCTGCTCCTGTGATGCTCGTGGAGTACAGCCTGAGAAAGGTTTTAGTTTTTGTTAAAACAAACCGCAAACCACCGCATGCAATGAAGCAGCTAATGGAAAGAACAGAAAACTGCAGTGGCTGTTTTGTGATGTTTTTGTCTTGATCCACCTTTAACCTGCAACCTGAAACTAAAGGAGATGTTGAACTGGGCAGGTATATGCAGAATTCTTCAGGGCTGGCAGACATTTGTGAGAACCCTGTCAGGCCTGTTCTTCTGCCGTGTTCATTAAGCATCATGCAAAGAGCGTGTGGGAAAGGTTTCCAACAGAGGAGCCGTGTTCCATTATCAATAAAGGTGACCAAATGAATGAATGACAGATTCCGCTATTCTCTGCCATCAATCCCAAGTGCACTTAGTCAGTTTAAATAACCTTGAAGTTTCTGAAATGTTGTCATTTTAATACAAGTCTGTATTCTTGATTAATATATTTAAGTTGAATCTAATTTTCTCTTGAAAAACAGTTTGCATTGCGGTAATTCTTATTTATTTTTTTTCCAATTATTCATAAAACGTATAATGTTTTTGTTCATTCATTTAGTTATATTTATTGATCATTTATCCATGATACACAGAGTTGATGCAATTATTAAATGAACTACAGGACAGCGGATGAGAGATTTGGAGTGTAACTCACCCCGGTCCTTTCATCCACTATTTTCAGTCCGCTCTGAGAAACTTTCAACCAGACCCTCAGCTTGTGTCTCCCCTGTCTCCTTGCTGCTGCCTCAAAGCCCTGAGGGGAAGAAAAACAAGTTTAAGTGGTTGGAGTCAGGAACCTCAAGTTTAAACTTTTAACTTTAATAGCTTTGAATTAAACATATTGTGCCTGAAATAATCACTAGGGGGAGCAAAAACATCTGACAAGCATCTAACAAGAGCCTTTTTTTCTTCCTCACAAATTCACCTCGAGTTCCCCCTGAGAACTGTTTCTATTTTTTTAATGAAAGCTGGATTCATATTCCCACTGGATCATGCAAAGTTTCATCCCAGGGGTTTCCCATGAGATCACTGATATGTCAAAGGTGGGCAGGATGTCAGATATATGTGAATCACACTTCTGCACTGGAAGAATTTTCCCAGAACTACTTTTCCTTGTTCATATCAATCATCAAAGTGATCCAAATTATTTTAAATGTCCAAATCTGAACTTTCAGGGGACCTTTGTTGTAT